TTACAAGAATGGCCAAAGTTATTAGTTAGATGGTATAAGATATAGTAGGGAGTGCCGTTGAACGATGGAGATGGAGAAACGGGTGCCTGGACAAAAACTATTGAAATTTAACTTAAACTTAGTAATGGCATGTACACACCCGACCTAAAAAATACAAGGCTTCCTTTAATTTGTACGTTCAGGCGTTCTTCAGACGTTGTATTGTATCTCATCTGTTCGAACATATCTTTTCACTAATCATATTCTTCTCATCCCTGTAAAAAAACCGATCCTATACTTCACGCGTGGGACATCTGAGGAAAGTATCGCGGCGTGGCCAAAATAGGGCGTGCTGAGGCCTTTGTCAAAATTGTTGGACTGACTATATTTCTTGTAAAATCGGATGCTTTTAAATTTAAATTATTCCCAACATATATATAACAACAAGTATCACTTTTATCAACTTTTATCAACACAATATCAAAGTATTAGTAAATAATGAATAATGTTACAAAAACATTATTAGTATAAAGAAACGTGACAGACTAACTGGCGTATACACGCCAATTAAAACTTATTTAACACATGATATTGCACAGTTTACAAAAGGGTGGGTTTTGGACTTGTTGTTTCTCCACATGATGGTTGTATGTGTGCTTAAGAAAAAGAAACACCCGATTAACACAGAAATGTGGAAAGTGTGATTTTACAAAGCCCCCCCCCCTCCACAAAAAAGCGAAGGATATGTTCAGTATGTGTGGACAATTTGACCCTATAAAATTGTTCTGTTAAATAAATGTTAAAAGTGCTCTGTCAATGTGCAACAGCTACACACGAAAGAAAGTATCTTGAATTCAATCCTAGCTTTCACCGGCAACCAATGAAAGTCGTGCAATGTAAGTCGAAATTTCGAGTAAGTTAGTCGAAATTTCGAGTTACTAACTCGAAATTTCGAGTTAATAAGTCGAAATTTCGAGTTAGTAAGTCGAAATTTCGAGTTAATAAGTCGAAATTTCGAGTTAGTAAGTCGAAATTAACTCGAAATTTCGAGATAAGTAACTCGAAATTTCGAGTTAGTAAGTCGAAATTTCGAGTTAGTAACTCGAAATTTCGAGTTAGTAACTCGAAATTTCGAGATAAGTAACTCGAAATTTCGAGTTAGTAACTCGAAATTTCGAGTTAGTAACTCGAAATTTCGAGTTAATAAAAAACATACACCTGGCACTAATGCTCTTCCGTAGATCTTTTATCCATGATCTCTGCATTTTAAACTGCCTACTCGAATTTTTATCCATATATCATTTTTTTTATCCACGTACTAGACAATTATTTATGTGCCTGACATTTCAACCACTTACTCTACTAATTATCTACGTGGCCAACTTTTGTTCCATATTGACGACGTACGTGATAACAATTCGTGGTTGCCCCCCCCCCCATTTTACAGGTATCTTAATACGTGTACTTGAAGAAAAACGGACAAAAATCAAGCACAATAAGGGTCTTAAGCTTTAGACTTTTTTAAACACGTCTATTCCTATGAAACTATGGTATGAATTCCATTGTTACTCCATCAGAAAACTTCCATTTTAATTAATTCACAATAAAACTAAATATTTTAACGGGTGTGGGGGTGCCGATGTAAAATATACAAAGAAGGATCTACGTATATACAAAAAAGCCCGACCTATTTTCTCTATCAAATGTCTCGATTGTTCGAAACAACCATTGTTCGATTTAAGCGAAAATCACTGTAATTCTGTAAAAGGCGCTAAATCTATGTAAATCGAAAACTCCAAAAAACAATCTATGACAAACGTTTTACATGAACTTAAATCTCGCGAGAAGATAAAAATATTATAAAACAACGTTATTAAAAAAATACGTCTTAATTGGCATAAGAGGTTACAAGAAGACCTCGGTAATTCACCTATCTCGTAAAAAACGTATAACGAAAAACGGATAATAAAAACACAAATTAAAGTGCAGCTTTATACAATAAAGCCTATACGTAACTTCTTGGAGACTCTTAATTTCCGCAGGGCAGCATGATCAAAGAAGTATCAGGAAATAAACAGAGAAAATAAATGCGTCCGTAATTAGATTTCAATGTTTACTCTTAGCTATGAATTGTGGATTTTAATTTGTAGCCATGGTTACCTACAAAGCAAATAGAAACAAACGTTGAAATTACATACGCTTGCAGAAATGGCTGTTGTTCTGCGACACAGAATTATTTTGTTTGACCTTTTCGTATAAATCGCTGTTTGTCATTTTTTTGTGAACAAGTATTATTTCAAACGATTAGAAAGTAGATATTTTTTACTTAAATACTTACATATATACAGCGATATCGATTATGGTACATGTGCTTTAAATGGTTAAATGTTTATATATACTAAGACAATGCAAAGTAGGCCCTGTACTAAACAAAAATTAATCACTAGAGTTTGTTGAATTAGAAAGTTGGTGAAATTCTTTTTGAAATTACTATTGTAAGCTCTGTACTTTAATCATGCTACTTAAACTCAAATCCACCTTTTCCTGTATTCATTTTCTTACTTAAACATGACTGTACAGGTTTGATTCATACTTGAACAAAAGAACATATTGAAAAAACGGACATGTTGAATTATTATAATATGACCTTGACCGTCACCTTTATCTGATCTAAAACGGCAAGGTTAAATTATTGAAATTTGCTTAAAATGTCATAATTTTGTTCTTTAATTACGGATTAGATTCATGCTTCGACAAAAGAACACATATGACAAAACCGACATGTTTATTTATTTTGATACGACCTTGACCTTTATTTGTCATAGACCGTTAAGGTCAAATTATTGAAATCTGCTAAAATTCTCATAACTTTGTTCTTTCTTTACAGATTTGATTACATTTCTATTATTCTCATCGAAATTTGAAATATTTTTGGAAATACTTTAAATTGTTTTGACTTTGTTTACTTACAAAGTGATTCGTACTCCGAAAAAAAACAACAACTATGACAAATCCGACATGTTGAATTATTCTGATTCGACCTTGACCTTTATTTGACCTTGACCACCAAGGTCAAATTATTGAAATTTACGTAAATTGTCATAACGTTGATATTTATTTATGAATTCGATTCAATTCATTCTTTCGGCAAATCTGACATGATGATTAATTCAAATGTGACATTAACCTTTAATTGACATTGACTGCTAAGGTCAAATATAAAATTTGAATCTTATTTGGTAGAAATCTACCAAAAAATTGTTTTGTATGAGTACTCTTTGCTATTATATTCTTCTTCTGATGTGTTTGACTTTAAAAATAAGAAAAACAGACAGTCTAATAATATTTATTTATTTAAATTTAAATAGACAAATAAATATAATCATTGTTAAGATTTATCTATAGGGTAATTGACTTGGTTGAAATGTCTGTACTTTCGATACATTTTATTTCCTTCGCTACAAAAAAGTAATGTTTGCAATTTAAATCAAAGGGCTGCAAGCTCTGTGGTATAATCTAAATCGTACTGTATATCTGTATGTATTTTCCTGTATCAGTTTATTTTTATGTACTATAATTCATCTTGCAAGGCAGCAGAGTTTGGTACAAACGGAATTTTGCATAACTAGAGTTGCATCAAAAAATCATTTTATGTTCATTTTTTATGACAGCCACACTTTATCCTTGCATATCATGGCTACTTCTTAAAAAAGAATTTAAAAGAAATTGCCTCGACAGGGATTTGAACTCCGGATCTCTCACACACGAAACGAGCGCGTTACCCCTGCACCACGGAGAAGTTAAACCTGAATAAAATCAAGTCATTCTAAATTTAGAACTTCCATTGCATTTCGGGTTTGTAATCCTTATTAATTTCGAGGTATTTTGTTCAGGATAAACCTGTTGTTTAAAACTGAAGTAAATAATTTAGCGAAAATATTCTCGCCCAAACAGTCCGACATGTAGAATCTATATATTCCACTACTCGGCAATCAGATTTACAATGTATTTATGTAGTATTCGGTAATCGACATCGCTAAAAATAGCATTTTCATTGATTAAAATCATATTTATCCGCGTAATTTGTGCATTTATTGACAATTATATAAGCCAACGCTACATTTAAACTTTGAATGCGTTGTAGTTTGTTGGATACTTGTAACAAAATAAAAATATTTCTTTCTTTTAAATCGCTAGTTTTAAGCTGTTTTGAGAACTACTTGTTGTTAGGTTTGTCCTGACAATCTGTGTCAGAGATTGAATGTCCGCTATGTATTTACTGATCTTCGATCAGAAAATACAAAAATGGATCCCTGACTCTTAATAACCGACTGGCTCTGTTTTGAAAACGATGATGAGACAACAGATTTTTTTCACCGCGTTCGGTCGCACTAGAATATATACCCCACCATCATTTTAAAAAAGAGCACACGTTGAGTTTCGCATCGGAATATGACATATTCAAAGGTAATTACAATAATCAATTTCCCGCTCATATTTTGTCCCATTAATATTTCTCTTCCCAGTTATTTTATTCACAAAGAGGCCATTAAATTGTCAATCAAGGTAACCATTAAATCGGACAAGCTGATTTCCGGACATAATTTCCCATGTCAAGCGCGCGCTGAGTAGGAGAATGGACTATTTTTGTCTCCAAGAACATACTTCAACCTAATATTCGAAAACAATAGTCTAAAAGACAATTAAGACCTCGGGAAATGATCAATATACAAAAAAATGTTCTGCTTCAAAAATAATAATTGCTGTGCATTTCATGAATTTTATTTTTTCTACAGTGCTTCAATTCTATATTAAGTCGACCGCAAAATATATATTATCTGAATCGAATAAATTTTTACCTTGTTAGATGTTTGTTGCATGAAAAATGTAGCGCTAAATGTGAATGTATTTGCCATAAAAGTAGCAAAATGTAAACATGTAGTATTTTGACTTCCATACAAATCAATTGGTCACTATGTATATAACTGTATTAATTGCAAAAAAGTAACAGAAGAAAAAAGATGGTTCAGGTAATTGGCCAATGAGTAACGTTTTGGAAACTTTAAATTTACACCAAAAATAAAAAGCTTTTGAAAAATACTAAATATAGTCATAATACTCCCTTAAGATAAGTGAAAGCATAAGTTATATATTTTATATGATGTATGTAAATGATCTATTTACAGCATAACAGTATTTAAAATAATGCAAATAAATTTAAATTTTCCCGAATTTCAATTGGATTACTGGGCTGTTTATACACGCACGAATTACAAGGTGTGTGTTTCTAGGCACCTAAAGTGGAATAATAGAAAAATTGGTAGCGTCATTTTATTTCCTTGATGAATTTGTGATGAATAAAAATTTGCATTTTTTTAATTTAAACATAACCATAATTAACTGATAAACTTTATTCCATGTATATTATCACCAGAAATGTCAAATTCTTAGAAATAATGATTTAAGTTGTTATGGTATATTATATGGTATATTGCTTTGCATTTGTCTGTCGGTCGGGCGGTCCGTCCGTAGATCAAATGCTTTCCGAGTGATAAGTAAAGAACGCTTAGGCCTTGGAACTTTAAACTTGGTATGATAATTGTTCATGACCAGTAGACGACCCTTATTGATTTTGGGGTCAAGGGGTCAATGATCAAGGTTGCATTGACCTTGTTGGTAAAAACGGTTTCCTATCAATAACTTGACAAGCTGTGGGATTTAGCCCTCAAATTTTGAAGGTGCATTGGCCTTGGCCAGTAGATGGCCCCTAATGATTTTGGGGTCAGGGGGAACATAGATCAAGGTGGCATTGACCTTGAATTACAAAATGGTTTTCTATCAATAACTGGACAACCCATGGACCCTTGACCTTCAAGCTTTACAGATGCATTGCTTTTGGTCAGAAGATGAACTCAATGGATTTTTTGGCGTTAAGGGGTCAGAGGTCAAGATCACATTGACCTTATAGGTAACAACGCTTTCCCAACTCATGGACCCTTTACATTCAAACTTCACAGGTGCATTGGTCTTAGCCAGTAGATAACCCCTATTGATTTAAGGGTCAAAGGTCAATGTCATATTGACCTTGTATGTAAAGACTGTTTCTGACCATAAACTCAACATATCAAGTTACCTTGGTTGATATTTTTTATTAAACTAAAAATCCTTTTGGTATACACATTTCTTTTGTAATATAACAACATGGCTGTCATTAATGAGGCCTACATGTAAATATATATAAAATGTATGCATATATTATTTGGTAAGATTTAAAATAACTTTGTCATAAAATTGCTGCACACAACCTTTGCGGTCACAATTACCTAGTGACCAGTCATGACCAGTAATTAACCCTTATTGATTTTTTGGTCACTAGGTCAAAAGTCAGTCATCATAGTCTGATCACATGACTAATTGGCTGCCGATAGGGGGCATACATGTTTTACAAACATATCTTGTTCTATTGTATTTCAAAACATTCTAAAAATCGATATTTCTTTTTTGTCTTTCCCAAACTTTTCCGTTTTTTTTTCGTCTAAGGGAACCTTCAAACATGTATAACCTTTTAAAACGCCGGAGCGAAAAAAGGTGTTTATTTTTTCATTCTAAACCCGGGAAAATTTACCGGAATTCACCGATGACAATAAGTTTTCCCCACGCCCCGGGAAACCGCCAACCCGACCTCCACCATCAGGGAAGTCGGTACAAACTAAAAAAGACACCGTTAATGAAATTTGCACGACTATAAAAAGGTACGCGCAAAAATATCTATCACAGAAAGAAATTAATTACGACACTTGCGAAAAAACGTTCAAAGACGTCTCAAACCAATGGAAAATAGATCACTCAGAGTTTCAGAGTTGGAAAGATTTTTTGGAGCAGGTTGAAAAAAGTAGTGTAGATAGAAAAATAAAAACCAGTGAACCTTTTAAAGACCTAATAAACATCTGTGAAAGATCTAAGGAGTTTGAGGTGATGATCCCTGTGATAAGAGAACGTATAGTGACGTGTGTAAAAGAACATGTTTACAAATACTGCCATAGTTTCGCCGAGGAAACGGGTGGAGTTGACGCAAGAGTAGTTGTTGATTACGAACAGCAGATCCGGAACTATAAGAAAGATATTGAGAAAATGATTGATGCAATTAACGCAGATATTCTTAGATACAGTGATGTAAAATCCTCTTTTGAGAAGTTCGTTAAAGAAGGTAAAAACATAGCTAAACTCATGGAAAGTATATGTGTTCAAATTGTTGAGATTGCTTTAGAGGTGAAGAAATGGATAAGTGACGATGCTGTATACCCTGATAAACTTCAGCAAGAGATTTTGTTCAACAATGGATATAAAGAAACGTTACAAGAGGATGTGAATAAATTGCACGAAAGACGAAAATCATTGGAGCGAAGTTTAGAGCGGAGAGGCAAACTAAACCGGAAACTTGAAAAGGACTATCACTTCCATAGAAAGGAGAAGAAGAAAAGGAAACATAGTATTCATACACTGCAGATGAAAATCGAGAAACTTGAATTTCAGATTGCCCAAAAATCAGAAAGCGTCGAAGGGACAAAGACGGCTCTGTCAACTAGACGCACGCTTTCGCCGAGACAAGAGGAAGAAATGCATATGAAACTTGCCAGACATTTGAAAGAAATGAAAAGAATTGAAGAGTGGTTAGATGTTGCTAAGCGACAAAAAGCCAGAAATGAAAAAGAATTGAAAGAGATTTCTGACCGAACTTATGAACTCAAAGTGGAATTAGTGACCAACCGGCACGAGGCGGAAGAGATGGCCAATAGTCTAGAGGGTATGAATATTGAACTTAAAGGAATGCATGAACGCTTAGAAAGCCTCGATAGGAAAACGGCCGTGATGAAACACATCCGGGTACTGAAAATGTCGCCGGAGACTTTACGGAAGTTATACCGAAGACGGCGGGAATTTTATCAACAAGGTAAGAATTGTTCATGTACAGGCATTGTTAAAAATGTTTTCATGAAAACAGGCCAATCGCTCTGCGTTGTCGGAGTAATTAACAACGTATATCATTAGTGTACAAATGGATATATATGGAAATGTGCAATAATATAGGAACTCAGGAACGGGCAAATATTTCCGATCATGTAACGGTTTTAAAAAATGTTTCTCCTATATCTAAATATCTTTTCGTATTATCCAAGAACACGGCCACAAAAAATTACAATGTAGATCTAATATCAATTTAAAACGATTTGTTAGTTTTTAAATTGGCCAAATCTGACGGTGTTTTTTCAATACTCGTACCCGTAAAATTTGACCGATTTTTAAAATAACAGATTTTAATAAAATGAATTTATTTTTCAAGACCACACTATCGGAAAATATGAAAAGATATTCAAGGGCGGGCAAACAATATGTAAAGCAGGTACAGATTCGGAAATATGCTCCGCAATCTGTAATCCCATTCCCGAGCGCCTATGATGTGCAGTATAAATTTTTCTAAAGCATTTAAACTATTGAATAAATAAAGTAACAGGTCTAATTGTTATTAGTACATGTATATCTTTAAAGACTGACTGGTTATATAAAATACATCGATATTTTAGCGTGTATATAATTATAATTGTATTAAGCATATCTTATAATGTAAGGAAACTACTAGTATATAATATTGCAAACACAGATTTTCAATGTATGTTTCAAAACACATATCAGTTATTAGAATCATTTGATGTTTGTGCATGGTTTGGTTTAAAGTCACATCGATACTGTTGAGGTTATATGTCGACTTTGAAGCTCTAAAGGTGGTTGTGGACACCAGGTGCCCCTGCAAGCATCATTTAAGGCACGAGCGAACGGATTATACCTAAGCTGAACCACTGATCTCCCGTGGGCTAGAATGAAAAAATTTAAACGTTGCAGAGTTAAAACCGACAGCACATTGGGCCAGGTTATTTCACACCCCACCCCTCCTTTTTCCATCACCCGAAACTTTTTTTCAGCAACCATTTCTTGGAATGTCGATTAAATATTTATTTAAAACGATAGTATATGTATATACGATGACCCGATTCGTGGCACTTTGATCAATCATTACTATGGATATATATCACGAAAATAGATAGATGTCATTAAAACTGAATCAAAACAACATGATCAAGGAAAGCTGAAAGAAATGAATTGGAAAAATCAGTCCAAATACGTGATTGTGTTCGCGTAATCTCTGAAAATGAATGTTGCCTCTGACTGAATGGGTTTTATTTTCCTCTAAAAAAATCATGATAAGAGTTAATGTGAATGTACAATGTGTCTCGTATATCGGGGAAATGAGAGTCGCCGACGAGATTTGCGTAATTAAACAGTAAAACTCGGGAGTATTGGGGGTGAAAATAGATTAAAGCTAATGCTAGTAAAACCATTCTAACGTTGTAATTGATTTGCTTAATTCTAGCGCCAGTTTTTACACTGTTTCCAAGCATTAATTTAGTCTAGGTAAAGGTAATTATCAAACCAATATTGGGTTGGTTTTCTCTATTCCCAGATGTGGAAGTTTTGTAACAGTTTCATGACAGTGTCTTTTATTGAATGCGAGAAAAATATATGTAAAGCCCTGGTGGTATTCGTAAGCCGCGCCCGGAATTCGTATGCCATGCCTTGTATGCCGAGCATTGTATTCCTATGTCACGATTGAAATTCTATGCCGCGCCTGGAATTCGTATTTCGCGCCTTGGATTATTATGTCCCGCCTGAGATTCTTATGTCCCGACTTGGATTCGTATGTCAATTCTGGATTTTATATGCCGCGTTTGGGATACTGCACCTTGGACTCGGATTTCGTGCTTTGATTTTGTATTCCATGCCTTGTATTCGAATGCCGCGCATTGAATTCGAATGCTAGGAATAGATTTTGTAAGCTCGATCGGGATTCTCATGTAACGCGTGAGATCCGCATGTCGCGCCTTGCTTTGGGTTCGTACGACCGCAACAGTATCAGTGTGACATCACCTACCAAAATGTTGAAATAAATAGTATTCGCCGAAAGAATTTTGACGATTTATATACCCTCAAAACAGCAAACTCCTACAAAATTATGATTTTACATTATTGTGTCGGCTGTACTAAAATTCAAATATTTTAAATAGATGGCTCGAATGTATTCTTGGCTTTTTTTTTAATTTGTCGTCTGCTATATTTCAGGCCAACTCATGGAAGCGTGTCAGTACGTCGCCCAGGAAATAGCCAGCGAGTGGAAAAGACTATACGAGGTTTTGCCATTTGAACCGCGGAGAGATCCGGAAAAATTGTTCCATGATATAGAACTTATTGACATCATCAGTGCCAGACGAGATAAAACATACGAGGAGCAGGCGTTAAAAAGTTTGGAAAAATGGCGGACATTTAGCAGACGACATGCAGACGTCGCGCAACTTATTAGGGGGTTACGGAAATTAAATAAGGAAGAACTAGCGGACAATGTTGAAAATAGATTCTCTATGGAAAGTGTATATGGTTAATCATTTGCAATATTATAAAATAATAAAATAACAGTATATCCAAACCAAGCGTTTTATTCAAATCCGTCTTAATTTACCAAGTTAAAGCATAATTATTTGAACACCACCCTACCAGAGTAAATACGTATAGTATCGCGACAATACTATTCTTTTGTGTACTAAATATTAGTTTCTTGATATTGGCATCTCTTAAAGAAACAAGAGCGATCAGTGATCACATGTGTCGCCTCATGATAGCCAATTTCATGTTGGGACAAGTTTTGTGACAGACGGACAGACAGACGGACAGTGCACAACTAGACTTGGTACTGATCATTCCTGTAAAGTTTGGATAAAATTGCACCAGTAGTTTACGAGGAGTAGTCCGGACAAGCTTTTGTGTATCTGGCAACACACAGAAAAAAACACCTTTCTATCAAAGGGCCATAACTCGACCAAAATCATTCAACCGGAAAACCCATGCAATATGCGCAAGGACTTGAGCTACAGATCAATCCTATTAAGTTTCATTAAAATTGCATTAGTGGTATCAGAGAAGTAGTCCGGACAAACTTTAAAAATAAAAATTATTAAAGGGCCATAACTCTGACAAAAATCATTGAACCGGTAAATGCTGACAATATGCACTACTAGACTTGGTAATGATCATTCCTGTAAAGTTTGGATGAAATTGCACCAGTAGTTTATGAGGAGTAGTCCGGACAAGCTTTTGTGAACCTGGCAACACACAGAAAAAAAACACCTTTTTATCAAAGGGCCATAACTCGGCCAAAAATTATTCAACCGGAAAACCCGTGCAATATGCGCAAGGACTTGAGCTACAGATCAATCCTGTAAAGTTTCATTGAAATTGCATTAGTGGTATAAGAGAAGTAGTCCGGACAAACTTTAAAAATAAAAATTATTTAAGGGCCATAACTCTGACAAAAATCATTGAACCGGAAAATGCTGACAATATGCACAACTAGACTTGGTGAAATTGCACCAATAGTTTATGAGGAGCAGTCCGGACAAGTTTTGTGACGGACGGACAGACGTACCAATTTTTCAGGTTTATGAGCTATTTCTATTGTTCTTTTCTTTTGTTTCCTTGTGGGCTAACTATTGTTTTCTTATGAGCTCACTATTATTTACGGAATGAAGTCCTTTGTTCTCTTTTGTCCCAGTGTACCGTTAGTTAGCTCATATACCTAAACTATTTGTGCGGACAGATAGACAGACAGACGGACAGGGAGACGACGGAGAAGTGATCCCTATATGTCGCCACTACTCCGTAGGGCCGACACAAAAATGGGTGATTGTAACTCAAAGAACTTCTCCATTTTTATTTGCGAACCAACACATTATAGGTCATATGGTGAGTTTCCAACTAAGACCTCAGGTATCCTTCCTTGCAATAATTTAAGCATATACGGGCACCTGTTTAGAAACACCGACGTTCCGTTACGGTTAGCTAGCTGGATAGCTTCCTCACCTGTAAGAAATCCCTGCCGCATCCGGGCCCAAAGCGGTGAGGGGCAAGTGGTTTTGAAGTCGACGACCTTAAACCATTCGACCACGGACGCCCGTGGCTCTATACTGTCGACATAGATATCTCTTTATTGTAAATTGTTTGTTTGATAAGGTTTTACGTCACACCGGTACAGTTTATGTCTTATGACAACGTTCCAGCTTTTACTAGAAGAGTAAGACAATATGTGCCCTTCTGTGCGTTATTTCAGGCACGAACGGGCGCCTGACTAGAACTACCGAGGTTCCGTAAGCTAACTAGATAGCTTCCCCACATGAAGACGGGATTCGAACCCACAGCGGTGAGGGGCAAGTGATTCGGAGTAAACGACATTAACCACTCGGCCACAGACGCACCTCTTTATTGTTAAACTAGAGGGTTAAAATGCTTCCGGCTTATTCCAAATATTCGACTCCAAAACGCACTGAACTTATCATTCAAATGCAAACAAACTTTAAACTGGGTCTTTCAAATATTTTTCTGCAAAAGAGTTGTATTTGAAAGACCCTGGTTTAAAAAAAGTTTCATCAACTATTATTAAGTGTTTTATTACTGAATTATTTATTACAAACCATATATTTTATAAGAATATCGACACTTAACACAAAAACGCCCACACTTTTTGATCTGCATTCCTTAATGTTTTCTATAGGTTCATTTGAAAAATGAAAAAAAGATATGAGCCGCGTCACGACAAAACCAACAATATGGGTTTGCGACCAGCATGGATCCAGACCAGCGTGCGCATCCGCGCAGTCTGATCAGGATCCATGCTATTCGCTTACAAACCCTATTACAAGAAGAGAAACTGATAGCGAACAGCATGGATCCTGATCAGACTGCGCGGATGCGCAGGCTGGTCTGGATCCATGCTGGTCGCAAACCCATTATGTTGGTTTTGTCATGGCGCGGCTCAAATGTCACAACTCTTTCAAGTAATAAACAGGGCTTTAATAGATTCTAAAGAGTACAATCAATTTCTACAAAGAACCCGCAACACTATTACCGTTTTAAAACACCCAGAATTAAAGAATATTGTTAAAATGTCAAAGCAACCAGTCTTTTATTAGGAACCATTGTACTAGACTGCGTACAGGAGTGGTATACGTGTCATTCTTGAATTCATGTTTTTGCTTGAACAAGTCAATGTATTGGTCAAATGGTAACTTTAAAAGTTTAATAAATGACAAACTAGTAATATGCCCGGGTTAAGACTCGTGAATGGGAGAAGCTTTCATTCTGACAGAACCACTAGTAAGTTGACCTTTCTGGTGGTGTTGCTAGTTTTCACTCCGGACCACACTGAATTCACTAGAGCACAGTTCAGCCATCGCATCATTACTGGACATGATGTCAAGCAGTTTACCAGTACTAGTGCCTTCACTTTCGCAAGGAAATGAAACTTGTGTACATACCAGAGCAGAAGTACAATGCAAATGACCGTAGAAAGGATTTTATGATCAATCACAACGAAAGTGACCTGCGCCGTCCGGGAATCGGACCCGGGTGGCCCGATTCACAGTCCAAAGCTCTACCTATTGAGCTAACCCGGCGGCTTTTTATTGGTCCTTCTACTGCCAAGCAGGGATATTTTACTAATTGGAATGCAACGTGGGCTTTCATTAAATCTCCGATTATAAGGCGGGAGTTTATTTCAATTTCCGTTTATAAGACCAATTATAAGGCGAGGTACATTTCCGGTTATATGTTGGACAATAACATTCGATAACATTCTGTTCTTGAATTTTCGATTATAGGACATGTGTTTACTTAAATTTCAGATTATATGGCTCAAGTTTTTAGTTAAGGTCATTTTTATGTTACTTCAATTTCTTATTCTTAGACGCTTTTTTAAACTTCATTTTCAATAGGGCGAGTTTTATTTCAATCTCTGAATTTGCCAACTAAAAAATTAACACCGTGGGTAAGCAACTTTGGTCACGTGACCACAAAAGTCAACCAACACGGCCGAAATAGCTCGGCTGAGGTAAGATTTTAGCGATTATTTTTCTATCGAGCCGATTTAAATTATGCTACATAGCATACGGACCGCGGCATTTCCGATGCTTTCTAAAAATGCATTTGGTGTCGTCTAACGTTTTGTATTTTCTGAGAACATTCAAACAATATTAACAATTTGTCAATGACAACGTACACACTCTTGTGTAAAAGTGTTGCTAATAACTTTATAATCTTTAGCATGTCAGTGCTAAGTAAAATTATACGTTTTGAAATGTATAAGAGAATTTTTTAATGAAAAAATAACGTGTTTCCTGTTGTCATTTGTTGTAAGGGTATTTATTTAAAAATTGTCCAACTTACAGAAATGTCAACGTACACGTACAGTCTAGAAAATGTCAACGTACACACGATAATGGTCTGAACATAAGGCTGCAACTTCGGAGTAATTGGCTTTTTTCAACAAAAAGTAGGCTTTCTATTAGATTGCCCTCTCAAACTGTATATCAGTACTGGTTTATACAAAGAAAACAGTATTTAAACGCAAATAAGCTTAAACAACCTTTAACTTTTTTTTAATGTTATTTATTTGTTCTTTTGTGGTGGTTCTTTTAGAAGAAAAGAAATCCAGTTACTCAGACTGCTGAATGATTTGCTGAAACACAGCCGTTTGAATATTTTATGCTGTATTAACATAGATCATATTACAGTAATTTAATAACGTGCCTGAAATAATGCACGGAAGGGCACCTGAGGTCTTCCTCCACCAATAAAGCTGGAACGTCGCAATATGACCTATACTGTGTCGATGCGACATAAAACCCAAAGCAAACAAAAAAATAATAACGTAAACGGATAGGAAAAGCGTCTTTTGCTCAACCAAACTATTGCCTTCCGTAACAACAAGAGTCCAATGACGCCGAGTTACAATTTTATAGTTATTACCGGTATTTCATGATCAGCACCTTTACACCAAAATAGCTCGGCTGAGGTAAGATTTTAGCGATTATTTTTCACACTGACAGCAACGGCAACGCCGCCGCCATGACTGTTACAATACCTCTATTTTATTTTAAGTCGAGCTAAAAAACTAATGAACTGAACATAAACGTAAAATGGACCTACTCACTAGTTGCAAAGGACATAATATGTCGAGGTTGTTTAAGCTTATTTGCGTTTAAATGAATGTACTCAAAACGGTTTCCTTTGTATAAATCAGTACTGATATTCAGTTTGAGAGGGGAATCTAATAGAAAGCCTACTTTTTGTTGAAAAAAGCCAATTACTCCGAAGTTGCAGCCTTATGTTCAGACCATTATCGTGTGTACGTTGACATTTTCTAGACTGTACGTGTACGTTGACATTTCTGTAAGTTGGACAATTTTTAAGTACATTGTAAATACAAAAAAATGACAACTGGAAAGCAGTTATGTTTTCATTAAAACATTCTCTTATACATTCAAACCGTGAAATTTTACGTAGCACTGACATGTGTATCGTTTATAAATTATTAGCAACACTTTTACACAAGAGTATGTACGTTGTCATTGACAAATTTGTAAATATTGTTTGAATGTTCTCGGAAAATACAAAACGTTAGACGACACCTAAAGGCATTTTTATAGAGCAAATCGGAAAATGTCGCGGTCCGTATGCCCTATGTAGCATAATTTTAATCGGCTCGATGAAAAAAAAAATCGTAAAATTTTTACCTCAGCCGAGCTATTCTGGCCGTGTTGGTTGACTTTTGGGGTCACGTGACGAAAGTTGCTTATCCACGGTGATTAATAAGTCGGACAAAAACCTGTGTAATACAATGAATTAAGACCTTGACTTATAAGTATTCCGACTTATAAGCAAATAGATACGGTAATTTTAAATAAAACTTCTTTCATTTGTCCAGAAAACATGTTACACATTACTTGTTTAGACTAAAATTATTTCTTAATGCAAGTCACCAGGGTCTTTGCTTATGTAGGTATGAAGTTAAACAATAAGGTATAATATTTTATTATTATAACAATACAAATGAAATGAGCCGCGTCATGACAAAACCAACATAGTGCGTTTGCGACCAGCATGGATCCAGACCAGCCTGCGCATCCGTGCAGTCTGATCAGGATCCATACTGTTCGCTATCAGTTTCTCTACTTGTAATTAAGTTGGTAAGTGAACCGCATGGATCCTGATCAGACTGCGCGGAGGCGCAGGCTGGTCTGGATCCATGCTGGTCGCAAACCCACTATGTTGGTTTTGTCATGACGCGGCTCAAATAAACCAAGTAAAGTCTCTAAACACTGAAGTGGGCTCCATAACAATCCCGATAGTAAACAAGTCATACAGCAAGGTACCAGCAGAGACATAGATATCTATGTCATACAAACACACAAGTGAAATAGATAAAGGACTTATAAACACATCCTTCACTGTCTTGTAAATTTAACATTTAAAATCGCTTTCAAAATGAAATTAAATCTAAATTATAATACATATTAGTTACCTTGAAACACTGGTCAATCGGAAAAAAAACTACCCTCCAACCTTACATACATGTGATCTAAATACATTTGTAAATCAAAATATAACATATATTTGTTGCCTTGAACCACTGGTCAATAGAATAACCTCTATAACCTCTGTTCTTGCCTTTCCATTCTTCCATCCATTCTTAGGTTGCATGCTAAGAAAAGTGTCGTCTGCTAAAAAAGTTTCCTCTGATTTATGTTTTGTCCAATTTGTTCGAAATTCGGAGGAGTGTAAATGGCACTGCTGGGAACCAGACCTGATGAAAAGTTACTTGGCCTTTTGCACGAAACCAACCTTTTGCAAAGGTTTTTTATGGCCTCCCTTTTGAGTTTTCACATCTCTTGAATATTGATCCCCCAGTCAAACTACACATTAGCTAATATATCTATACATTGGTTTATTTTTTATCTTCCATTTTCATCAAATGATTTTAAAGTGTCTATATAATTCTGAAAGACCTCGAGCTCACTCCTGTATGAATCAATCTGAAATCGAATACAGAAATAATCCATGAAGAATGCAATAATATAAAAAATTTTGATACAAATTTGTAACAATCAAGAAACTGTCTAAGTTACCTATTTTATGTTGGTTTATATCTAACCCAGATCCTGCATAATGGATTTGCCCTGCTTTGAATTTAGAAGAGTCCATTTGAAATCAAAGGGATTTCAGTATCAAAATACAAAATTTGCAGTACCAACAGTATAGAACCTGGTCAGACTCAGAACATGGTAGCTCAATTTAAAGTAGTCACTGTTAACATGGTAAAGATGTACATGTAGACTGGCATAGCTATATCATGGTGGTAAAGGCTAATCACTTTTGGTTCCAGCAGGTTATGGGTAAATAAAGGTGCTCTGCCCCTTTCAGATGCAGCTATTACACCACATGCATATTTGCAGGGCAATTTTCTTTGTCAGATAAGCTTTTTATCACACTATTTCTGGTCAGACACATCTTTATGTAAACAGCTTACCATTTTAAGTCATACCTTTTTATCAGCACTTTTTATATTTATCAGACATACCTTTTTATCATCACTTTAATCTGCTTCAGATATACCTTTTTATCAGCACTTTAATCTGCTTCAGATATACCTTTTTATCAGCACTTTAATCTGTTTCAGACATACCTTTTTATCAGCACTTTTATCTTTATATCAGACAATTTTTAGCAGCACTTTTATCTATGTCAGACATACCTTTTTATCAGCACTTTTATCTTTGTCAGGCATACCTTTTTATCAGCACTTTTATCTATGTCAGACATACCTTTTTATCAGCACTTTTATCTTTGTCAGACATACCTTTTTATCAGCACTTTTATCTTTGTCAGACATACCTTTTTATAAGCACTTTTATCTTTGTCAGCTGCCTTTCCAACTTTTTTCTCTATACCATCAAGTTTCTTCTGTAAACTGGCTACTTTCTTCTCAAACTTTTCTAACACAGCTGAATGATCAATCGAGCCCTGTAATATAAGTAACCTTTGACCTTTTGAACTTTAACCTTTGTTGCATGATAAATGTTTTTTCTTTCTTATATACATGTACTAGCTTTATGTTTTTATGTTCAATACGGTAATTGTTAATATCATTTTTCAAAACTGGTATCTGTTGTCATTCAGAGCTAGAGTCTGAAGAAATTTTTTTTAACTCAACCTACAATCAATGAAGTATAAACTGTGTACAAAAAATTATTTCAATTAATTGAAATACCAACTGGGGTCTTCACATAAGCTTGCTATACACAAAGTTTCATTACAATAACTCATTCTTAACTCTATTTATTGTCCGGAAACCATTTTTCTATTTTTTGTAACGGTGACCTTGACCCCAGGAGGTCCAAATGCAATACTGACCGGGTCTTCATATAAGCCTGCCATACACCAAGTTGATAACAGTATCTCATTTTAACTCTAATTATTGTCCAGAAACCATTTTCCTATATTTAATAATGGTCCCCTTGACCCCACGGGGTCTAAATGCAATATGAAATAGGATCTTCATATAAGCTTGCTATACACCAAGTTATCTCATTCCTAATTAAAGTTATTGTTGGGAAATCATTTTTCTATTTTTAGCAACAGTGACCTTGACCCAAGGGTGTTCAAATGCAAAACCAACCAGGATCTTCATATAAGCTTGCCATACACCAAGTTTGATTACAATAACTCATTCCTAACTCTAGTAATTGTCCTGCAACCATTTTTCTATTTTTAGTAATGCTGACTTTGACCCCAGGGGGTCCAAATGCAATTCCAACCTTGGTCTTCATATAACCTTGCTATACACCAAGTTTGATAACAATATCTTATTTCTAACTTTAATTATTGTCGGGAAACCATTTTTCTATTTCTAGAAATGGTGACCTTGACCCCAGGGGGTCCAAATGCAAACCAACCGGGGTTTCCAGATAAGGTTACTATATACCAAGTTTGATTACAATACCTCATTCCAAACTCTAGTTATCATCAAGAAACCATGATGTGGACCAACTGATGGAAGGACAGACCGAATGATAAGCTGACTCCAATATACCCCCCTAAAGTTTGTTTGCGGGGGTATAATTATGCCCCTTTGTTTAACAACTGCACCTTGTCATGATAAGCAAGTATACAAAGTTTCAAGCTGATAACTTTTAAATATACTTGAATAATGGGTTACATAAAGTTTTTGCATGTTAACGACGACAATGACACCCCAATAAACATAATTGGTAAAGTTTAGTTTCAACAGACAAGCTAAAAATGGGAGCCAAACAAGTGAATTTAAGATATTCATCAGAATAATGGTAAACATGTCTGTGACTGATGGGATGAAAACAAAATAGGTACCCCTCAATCTCCCATGGACATCACCATCTATATATCAATGCCGGGCATATAAATAAACAAATACCTGCAGTTTAAGATGTGCATGTTTCTGGTGTAAAGCCTAAAGGCAGGACAAAGACTATATGCTATTCAACACTCCAACCCCATTCCCCAGATCTATAACAATTCATGGCATATAAAAGAAACAGTTACCTGTAGTTTAAGATGTACAGTTATTTCTGGTGTTATCTCTCTATGTATACAGCCTAATGGTATAGATCCACCATCACTGACCAACTGTAGTGACTTCACCCTTAACAGTGCATTAAACACAGTCATATATTGTCTAAACATATCACAGTGGGCAGGACTTGATTGTATATATACTGAAATATGAGAGAAAAACAATTAGGAAGTGGTAAAGAATATACAGCTATATCCAATGAAAATACTAAAATCGGAACTTTTTTCATTTTACTTTTTCACATCAAGAAATCAACTAATCAAAGTTTAACACATAGAGGTTCTACTGCACATGTATTAAAAAAAAAAAAAAAAAAAAAACAGTAAAATTACAAGTATATTGTTTCTATAATTTTATATTATTTTATGGTCAATTCTTGAAAAATGGAATTGTAACATAGAATGTCCCTGTTATTCAATACAAATGAGAATTGTATAAAAACAGAATAAAATGTTCAGGAGCAAAATATTATCCTGGCTGTTTTAAGTAGGGTTACAATGATTTTGAGGATGCGCCATTTGCTCTCAAGTTGAGTTCTTAAAAATTTGTACAGCTATTTCGTAAATATTGTTTTCTTTCTCCCCCACAAAATTCAAACAAAAAATTTGAAAACTACAGAAAACAGATACATATATACAGCTTAACATGTATACTCTTTAAAATTTCATACACTTCTATCCATTGAAAGATGATTTTGCTGAAGCTACTGCTTGGGGCGATCACGCAAGGGAAACACAAAAACTGGTCGCTTAATACAATGGTTCTTATCTTCTATTTTTAGAAACGAACATGACGCTTTATAAATAGCTCTCGGGAGGCCGTCTTGAAGATGAAATTACTGCATATATACATGTACTTGGAATGAAACAACACATAAATTTTATTCCAACAGAAAATGAAAAACTTAAAGGCCTCTTTAAAGTTCTAAATATAGTTTTATATAGAAAGTGAGCAGTTGATAGGATCTAAAGGTGCTAAATGTAGAAACAATCTGGAAAATCGTTCATTCAGTATTACCTTCCGCATGTTTCTTGGTCAAGTTAAATGTCTGGGCTAGAGATAATGTGACTCTACGTATATCTCTAACTACTTCCATCTCCCTGTCTAATTCTTCATTATACCATCTATACTGTAATATATTAAAGTATATATCTTAGAATTCTTACAATATCCAACATCCAATAGCATAGCATTAAGTTTCCCTTATGATTTTTAGTTTACACATATTTCTCAAAATATCTAATATATAAATAATTCAATTTATAATACACACAAACCACTTCAAATATTCTTAAAATGAAAGAAAAGATATCTTATGAAATTCTTCTCCAAAATATTAAAAAATTAACATCTATACACATTGATATTTAAGAATCACTTGAAATGTTAACATATTGCAGAGATCTAAAGGTAAAACCCATGAATCCTATTATAGGTAATGATGTAAAAAATATCTTCTTATAAACCAAGTTTTTCTTTCTGTTTGTATGTTTTCTTTGGTTTAAAGCTGCACGCCTCCAGATTAGCAAAAATATTTCGATAAAATCAAACATGAGAGAAATGTACTAAGATTTTAGGAAAGGTATAAAGATTCAAAATTCTAGTAATAATTTACATGTTATTAGCGATTAATGACCAATTTTTCAGTATTTATAGCTCTATTTCTACTGCGTTACTAATGCAGTAAGGTCTATTTTTGCATATTTTGACCTCTTTATAGCAATTTACATGGGCTGTAAGTGCCATTTATAATGTGTAAATTGCATTCTTTTGGTAACTCTACAATATTATACTGTTAAATACATTTTCAAATTTTCATGAAAATTAGCATGAATCTGGAGGCGTGCTGCTTTAAAGGCACATAAATACAATTTAGGTCATATGGCGCACGATTTTGGCTAACCTCGGGTGATACAAACTTTAAGCAACACCAGGGGTCAAAACCACCTCACCGAGTGTAGGCCAAAAGCCCTCCCGGACAAAAGCCCTCCCGTCCAAAAATGACAAGGCGGACAGAAGCCCTCCCGTGAAATTGACAGGGCGGACAAAAGCCCTCCTGTAAAAAAGACAGGGCGGACAAAAGCCCTCCCGTAAAAATGACTGGGCGGACAAAAGCCCTCCAGCAGCAAATACATATATGTACATTGAATAGTTTGTATTTTTTTTTCAATGCACTCAACATATGAAAATTGTAATCATTGATATGTTTGTTTTCCATTGGCACAAGCGTGTTTGTATGAATTCGTGCACATTCCTGACAGGCATCTGAATAATAAGTGCTAAAATCTGTAAGTGCATATTTATTCACGTAAAAATGAAGGATTACTCATATGTGAAATTAAGATTGATACAGAATAAATGATGAAAAGAAGTTTAAATTAACTAAAATTAAAAGTCCAAGACATCTATAATGTGCCTTGTAATGAGTCAATTACTTTTAAAAGTGACTTTTGTGTAAACGATCGACATTCTGTGTGAAAATGTTTACCTCGTTAAATATTTCTGAAAGGTATATTCTGGATGAAAGGTGGTTCTAGCTCATAAATATACTTAGACCAATAGAAAACAACAACAAATATTTATGTTTTAAATTTAATATGTTAAGTGCATTTAAAAAAAACAGGTATGTAGCATACATATATATTTTGTTACGTGAGGGCTTTTGTCCGCTTTGTTAATTTCATGGGAGGGCTTTTGTCCACCCAGTCATTTTCACGGGAGGGCTTTTGTCCGCCCTGTCATTTTCACGGGAGGGCTTTTGTCCGCCTTGTCATTTTCACGGGAGGGCTTTTGTCCACCCTGTCATTTTTGGACGGGAAGGCTTTTGTCCGGGAGGGCTTTTGTCCGTTTCCCCACCTCACCTGCTTGAGCTAAGAGATGCATAGACTCCAGTAATTCCAACCCTGTTACGATCGTGCAGGAGGAACTAAAGGTAATACTAAAACAAGTATGTAACAAATCTTTAAATGTTAAAAAAACCTTTGACTTGCTGGAACTGAAAGTAATTAGCCTTTGCCAACAGTACAGAGTCAAGGATTTTGATATCGAAAGATTTCAAACTTTGGGATGACTGTCTGTAAGTCACAACATGGCAAACCAATTACACAAAGCCAGCAAGTTAAAGGTTAAAAGGCATCCAAATAATAGCTATGGCTCCACCAACAACTAGCTTAGGATAAACATTCAAAATTGAAAAATTAGCCAAAAAACTTTTACAAAAAAAAATCATTTGAATAAAAATTCTGAAAATTCAATACAAACGTTATCTGTTGCCGGATACTGTGCCACACAAACACTGTCAGCTCCTGGTTCAAGCCTCTGGTATAGCTCCTCCGACAAGTATGGCATAAACGGACTTATTGCACGCATATATGTGCTAGTACATAGGTAGAGAATTTCTTGTACCGTGGATTTACTGTCGTCATCTTCCGACTGGAATACTTGTTTTGAAAATTCCTGAACAATAAAAAGAAAATTTTACAAAATTTACAGTATTTTTTACATATCATTCCATTTCAATGTAAGAAAATGTGGGCAAAAAGATTTGTAACTATGATGAAATACATTTTGATTTTAACTTAAAAGAAGTGCTAAAAACTTGCAAACCGTTACAGATTGAAGAAATCATTTTAAACAAGGAATACACAACTGAAGAAATCATTTTAAACAAGGAATACACAACAAAAGCTGTCCGTACAAACTACATGTCTGTATATTCATTACTTTAAAGTTACAAAAAATCTATGCAGGAAATTCACCAAGGGGAATAATTCAGTAAAAATTCAAGATTATGTAATGGGTCTTGGTCAGGGTCCTATAAATGAAATATTAAGATACATGTGAAGTTTCAACTTTATTCATACTGTAATTGTGGAAACACAACATTTATGCAAAAGTTTTATAAAGATATCTTTACTTTCACCAAGTCAGAGGCATAAGTCAATAAAATAATCAAATTTTGGGTCTTGGATAATGCCCTACAATTATAACCATGGATAAAATTCATAGAAAAAAATTAAATAATAATATTTATATAAAAAAAAAATGTTTTCTATTTTGTTTAAGATTAAAGGAACTCCACTGAGGTATATTAGCCTAAAATCATAAAAATTGAATTTCTTTCATAAATCAACTGGTACACTTAAAATGGAAAACCATGTGAGAGATAATGATTATGTAAATACAATTGGTACTTAATAGATCATCGATTTTTATGCAGTTTTTTGGGCTGATCTGAGTGAAAAACACAACTTATTGGTCTAGACCCTACATACAGTTATTCAAAAATGTTGAAAAAATAAATTCTGTCCTTTCATGTAAAAAAAAACCTAGTGGAGTCCCTTTAACAATTACCATCATCCATCACCAATGTGACTGACACATTCACACAGACTTAAAAACAAGAGGGCCATGATGGCCCTGAGGTCGCTCACCTGTATATAGCCCCCCCCCCCCCCCGGGCCAATTTTTACCCAAGGGCTTTATTTGTTTATTTGAACAGACTTGGTAGACACCCATAAGAAGATGTTTCATGCTAAACATCTAAATTCTAGCTCATTGGGTTTTTTAAAAGAAGATTTTTAAAGTTTTTACTATACACATATAGTTAAAAACAATGACACCCCTGGGGCAGGGCCAGTTTTGACCCCCAGGCTTTTATTTGAACAAACTTTGTAGACATTTACTTAAAGATGTTTCATGCTTAATATCTAAACTCTAGCTATTTGGGTTTTTTTCAAAGAAGATTTTTAAGTTTTTGCTATACACATATAAGGAAAATCAATGACCCCCCAGGGCTTTTATTTGAACATACTTGGTAGACACCCATTAGAACATGTTTCATGCTAAATATCTTAGCTCTAGCTCTTTGAGTTCTTTAAAAGAAGATTTTATAAGTTTTTACTATATGCATATAGGGAAAATCAATGACCCCCTGGGGCGGGGCCAATTTTGACCCCAGGGCTTTTATTTGAACAAACTTGGTAGACACTCATTAGAAGATGTTTCATGCTAAATATCTTAGCTCTAGCTCTTTGGGTTCTTTAAAAGAAGATTTTTTAAGTTTTTACTATATGCATATAGGGAAAATCTATGACCCCCTGGGGCGGGGTCAATTTTGACCCCAGGGCTTTTATTTGAACAAACTTGGTAGACATTCACTAGAAGATGTTTCATGCCAAATATCTAAGCTCTAGCTCTTATGGTTCTTTAAAAGAAGATTTTTTAAGTTATAGGGAAAATCAATGACCCCCCGGGGTGGGGCCAATTTTGACCACAGGGCTTTAATTTGAACAAACTTGGTAGACACTCACTAGAAGATGTTTCATGCTTAATATCTTAGCTCTAGCTGTTTGGGTTCTTTAAAAGAAGATTTTTTAAGTTTTTACTATATGCATATAGGGAAAATCAATGACCCCCTGGGGCGGGGCCAATTTTGACCCCAGGGCTTTTATTTGAACAAACTTGGTAGACATTCACTGGAAGATGTTTCATGCTTAATATCTAAGATCTAGCTCTTACGGTTCTTTAAAAGAAGATTTTTTAAGTTTTTACTATATGCATATAGGGAAAATCAATGACCCCCGGGGGCGGGGCCAATTTTGACCCCAGGGCTTTTATTTGAACAAACTTGGTAGACACTCACTAGAAGATGTTTCATGCCAAATATCTTAGCTCTAGCTCTTTGGGTTCTTTAAAAGAAGATTTTTTAAGTTTTTACTATATGCATATAGGGAAAATCAATGACCCCCTGGGGCGGGGCCAATTTTGACCCCAGGGCTTTTATTTGAACAAACTTGGTAGACACTCACTAGAAGATGTTTCATGCCAAATATCTAAGCTCTAGCTCTTAGGGTTGTTTAAAAGAAGATATTTAAAGATTTTTCTTTCGGTTGCCATGGCAACCAGAGTTCTTCATGGAATTAAATTCTTTGAACAATTTTTAAAGGTGACCACCAAAGGAACATTCCTGTGAAGTTTGGATGAAATTGGCTCAGTGGTTAATGAGGAGATGTCATTTAAAGCAAAAGTTTACGGACGGACGGACGACGGACGGACGACAGACGGACGCCGGACGAAAAGCGATCACAAAAGCTCACCCTGTCACTTTGTGACAGGTGAGCTAAACAAGAGCTGTCCGTAAGACAGCGCGCTCGACTTTTTTATTGCTTGCCAATAAAAAAAGTTTTTGCAGTAAAAGGCAATACAAGAATCTCTGTATTTTTAAAGTGAACTAGTTGTTTGATACCCTTGAATATTACAGCAATGTTTATATGACATAATTTATGGTAAAGTGAACAAGTGGATAGGAATGAATTTTTTTAGATTTTTTAAGTTTTTTAGTGCTTGCCTATAATACAAAACATTGACAGTTAAGGGCCATAATTCAAATAAAATCTTTGACAGAATTACCTTCTCCTGGACATGTTTGGGAATCATGATTGTAAACAAGTATTCCAACTTTCAAATTAATATCTCAAACAGTTCAGTCAAAAAGTGGACTGGTACTAAAAACTTAACCAAGATTCTAAGTCGATAAAAGGCCTTAATTTTTAAAACAAATCCTTGACAGAGTTACCTTCTCTTGCGTACAGATGGGGGTAATGATGTGAAATAGCATTAAAAGTTTCAAAGCAATATCTCAAAGGGTTAAGGCAATAAGTGGATTTTACCCATATTCAATGTATTTTCTAAGTCAAAAAGGGGCATAATTCTGTCAAAAACCTTGACAGAGTTATGTCCTCTTGTCTGTTGATGAAGGTCGTGATGGTAAACAAGTATGGTCAGTTTCAAAAGCAATACCTCCAATGGTTTTGAAATAAAGTGAGGTGGTACAAAAAACTTAACCAAGCTCAATACACTTTCTAAGTCAAAAAAGGGCCATAATTCTGTCAAAAACCTTGACAGAGTTATGTACTCTTGTCTGTAGATGGAGGTTATGATGGTGAACAAGTATGGTAAGTTTCAAAGCCATACTTGTAATACTTCTGAAATAAAGTGGGGTGGTACGAAAAACTTAACCAAGGTGTGACGCCAACGCCGACGCCGGGGCGAGTAGGATAGCTCCCCTTTTCATAGAAAAGTCGAGCTAAAAACAAAGAGAGAAACTCATGTTAAAGGGGATTAATCACTTCATAAGAACTTTTTTTTTCTCTGACAAAAATTTTGACACAATAAAAAAAGTTAGCTAACTTACCAGATATACATCACAGAAATCTGTAAACCAGAAACTATAAAGGGATTGTGTTACATGGTGTAAATCATAGCTGGCGAAGTTTTCCTCACATTTTAACACTAAATGACTTAGTCGACTTAGCATCCATCTGTTGACAGGACTTTTTATAGTGTGAGTCTGAAAACAAGTCTAACAATGTTAGTTGAAAACTTAGAAACTATACATATCTTTAATGAAAACTAACAATCAATTAATTGTCTGTGATGTCACACTATATAATGATGTCACTAATATTTTAACTGAAAATTTATAGGAAATTTCTTAGATGTGATGTCACATTACACAGTGATGTCACCCATATTCTAATTAACTGGAAATCTATTAATTGAATTGTATGGTGGTAAAGAGGTGATTAGTGCATGTTACCTTAAGATCTATTGTTGACTTGTATTCATCCCCTATCTTGTCCGCCACAAACCTGTATCCTTGCCAAATCTTGTTACAAAAATTACGATAACTTTGTACATGAGAAATGTTCATGTTAATTTCAGGATCTGTAAAAAAATAAAACATTATTTTACAGGCATTGTCTCTGTTTCATCATATAACTTCTTTACCCTAGTTTCTGTAAGCTTTTGTGTATGGAATCAAAAGTATTTTCTGTATGTGTAGGGTTCAGATGTACCCTGCAAACATTTTTTGGATAAGTCCATCAGACTCGTTAAGACACACTATATAAAGCATTAAACAAAACATTTAGATTAACCATGATGAATATAAACTATGAATGCTTACAAAATGAAAATAAAATTGGTGTACAATGAAAAACTAGAAATGTGTCGTCACGCCACAAATGCCCCCGCATGCAGCCAAAATTTCAGATGTTATAATATTTAATTCCAAATTTGATTGCACAAACTAAGTTCAAAGCCCTTAAAACTATTCAATGTAAACACAAACCATTTTTATACAAAGTTCAAGGCACTGAAACTATTCAGTGTTAACCTTTTGTAAATTGCCTATTTGTAGCTAAAATAATGACTACATACATTTCCACAAAAGTATGAGTGCTGATACTGAAAATTCAAAATTTTTCCAACATTCAAGAGAGATAACTTTGTCCAAAATCATTGAACCACAACTAAATTCAAACTTGAACTGCTTATTCCTAAGATGTATCTATATGTCAAATTTGAGTTAAATGTGTACAACCATTGGGGAGACAATGAACAGAAACTAAAAATTTCTGATTTTTTTTCAAGTTCAAGAGGGATAACTTTGTCAGCTATCATCAAACCATGACCAAATTCGAACTTGACCAGTCTTATGACATATCCATATCTTAAATTTAAGTTGAATATGTACAACTGTTTGGGAGATAATGCACAGAAACTGAAAACTTCCTTTTTTTTTCAAAGTTAAAGGGGCATAACTCTGCCAAAAATCATTGAACTATGACTAAATTCTAACTTGACCTGCCCATTCATTTGACGTATCCATATGTCAAATTTGAGTTGACCGTGTAATACTGCTGGGGAGATAATGAACGGAAACTGAAAATCTCATATTAATATAAAGTGAAAAGGGCATAACTCTGCCAAAAATCATCAAACCATGACCAAATTCGAACTTGGCCGACGCATTCCTTTGACATATACATATGACCTGTATTTCTCATGATATATCCAAATGTAAAATTTGAGTTGAATGTGTGCAACTGTTACTTAGATAATGAACGGAAACTGATGACAACGGAATGATGGAAGGACGAAACAGGGTAACACTATATGCCCCAGCCATTTTATGGCGGGGGCATAAAAAATATCTAAAAATATTCTGTATAATATGGGAATACTTTTAACCATCCAATAATTAAAAAGAGAAATCACCCGCATAATTTTCGTTCATAAAGTTTATTTGAAAACACAAGAAATTATCACAATCACCTAAATCCATGCATGACAGTTAGAAAGTCTTTCACGAGTTGGGATGGTTAGCTAGTGGATCAGCTCCAATTAGTATGGCTTCGAATAATAGGTGTGATATTCTATTATAATTGTATAATCGGGACCGAAATTTTACTTAGAAAAATTGGAGGTATTTGGAATACATTCATATTTATATAGAGATAAAAACGGGACCGCCGATATACTTCGTATAATGCAGGATATAAAGGGTTGTCGAATAACTGGGATCAGACTGTATATAAATTTGGACTGATATCCTGCTAAAAATATATTTAACTTGTCTAGCAGCTCATATAATGTTGCTGATCAAGCCAAGTAATGAGTGGACGGTAACCTTTGCCAGCTCTAGGCCACGAGCCCCCATTTAAATATTAAAGGACCTGAATATTCTTAACAGGCGATAAAGTTAATATAATCTTACCTTTAAAGTTATAAGAACATAGAGCAAATCTGAGGGCATCTGTACCACAGGCAGGTATCCCTTCAGGAAAATCTTTCTGCTGACCTTTCTTAGCAACCTCTACCTCTTTGGGGTCAAGGTTACTCTGCTCTACCTGCTTGTTTAAATCCTTCAACAAGAACAAAAAGAAATGTTGTATAAAAAGTAAATATCTAAAATACATGGGTGATAATTGGGACTACTTAATCACTCCATCATGTCAACAATAAAAGATCTGGATATGTTAACAATTCTACTTTTTGGATGTATGACATATAGTAATTATTGTATAAATGACAAATAGTAATTTTTTGATGTATGACCTATAAAAGCTGCATGCCTCCAGATGACCCAAAATATTTCAAGAAAATTAAACTTGGAAAAAACATACTTAAATTTTGAGAAAAGTAAACAAATTAAAGATTCAAGTGATAATTTATATCTTATGTGCAATTAATGACTGTATTTTGTTGTATTTATCACCATATTTCTACTGAATTACTAACGCAGTAGGGGCTATTTATGCATATTTTGACCTCTTTTTGGTAATTTACGTGGATTTTAAGTGCTGATTATAATGTGTCAAGTACTTTCTTTGTTCATTTCACAATATTTTACCTTTAAATACATTTTCAAAATATTCATGAAAATAAGGATGAATATGGAGGCGTGCTGCTTTAAATATTGGGATATAAGACCAACAGAAATTTTAGTACACAATTATGACCAATAGAAATTTTAGGATATAATTATGACCTTTTATATAATTTAAAGATTACAAAATGTTTGGAATAATGATGTAAAATAATTCTATCAATAGGTAAAAGTAAAAACCATAGGCCTGTGGCCATATTTCTTACTATCTGACTAATTACTTTTGTGCACATGATGGTATAGGTACTTACATTTAATGATATTCCATGGACCACATCCATTGGATCAATAACATTTCCCAGAGATTTACTCATCTTTCTTCCCTGTGCATCTCGCAGTATACCATGTAATAAAACCTACAAGTTAAATACTTAAGTCATATACATTTATAAAATGATCAACAATATTTCACAGTTTGATGACAGTCTTGTAAACAAAATATTAGATTTTTTTTAAGATGTACAAAGGATGCCAATAAGAAATGCTCAAAAAATATTAATAATTGCAGTAAGCAGTAGTTCTTTTTTATATTAAAGGTTACATTTAATCATCTATAAAAAGACATTGACAGTACTCAATTGTGATTATGGTGTTTTAAACAATAATAAATTGTTATTATGTTGAACTACAATTTTGTTTAACTTTAATACAGTACTTAACCACTATAAACTTGAAATTTATAAAAAAAAGCAACAACAAACAAACAACAAAATGACAACATTTACTTTTGAGAAGGGAAGTTGTCCAGTCATTTTCTGTCCCAACATCACCATCCTGGCAACCCAATAGAATATTATGTCACTTCCTGTTTCTAAGAGGTTGCTGGGATAGAACTTCAATAAATCTGTCGTCTGCAACATATTTGCAAACAGTTTACAAAAATTATAAAAATTACACATTGAAAAAGAAGTTTACCCTGCATTGCTTTATTTTACCAAGGTATAACTGGTCACCTGTAATTAAAAAATGCCTGCTGACATAATTAGAGCAGAGATCTATAGATAGACACTTGTGGCCAGATTTGCTGTTTTAGTTGTTTTTTTATGACAATTTCAACACAATTTTGGTCATTTCTAAGCAGTTGGTACACTTAACTGGCCTTCCTTGAAAAACTCACTAGTTGTTCCCAATTTCCTATTTCAGTAAAAAGTAGTTGGTTACTTGCAGAGAAATTGGTAAAACATTGGTTAGTTATCCAGGAAAGCTGGTTAATTAGTAATTACTGGGTAGCCCATTGACTGGGGTACAGTTATTCAGCTGGTAAACATGCTTATGATGTAAAGCTGGAGACTTTAAAATATTTAAGAATTTACATTTTAACAAACATACCTGATTTGGCCAGCCATGTACAGAGAATGGGAACAAAGCTGATGAAAACCATGTGTCCAATACATCTTCATCTATAACAAAAAATAGTACATTCTTTATATGTTTTATTAGTTTTTGGGTTTTTTTTAATTATGTTGACCATCATTTATATAATAAATAAATTGTTCTCTGTAATAAGTAAAAGTAATTTAGAAGGGAAAAACTCATAATAATGTAAGAGTATTATTATTTCAGCCACAATGTCAACAGGCACCTGGGCTGAACCATGAAACTTTATAAATTAATTATTTTAATATATTCCATACATGATCTCAATTTACATATACAAGATAAAGGAATAATCAAAACAAGTTGTTTTAAGACAACATGTCAGTAATAGAACGCAAAAGCAAGAGATATGTAAAAAAAAAATTTTTTGTAGATGGAGATAATTCAGTAATACATTTCATGTTAAAGTTACACTTCTTTGATAGTGACCTATAGGATTATAAAATCTCAGCCATATATTTAAAGTTTCATATTTGAGTCATTAATGACTTAAGTTGAAGTAAGGAAAACCATTATCCAAGTGTTTAGCAAATGACTACACCAACGTGAGTAGGATTTTTCTACATAATAATTCAATAGTTAATTAAGCTAAATAAGAGAAATAAACAGACAGTTAAATATACAAGTACAGATACCAGAGGAAGAAGGATAGCCCCTAAAATTTGTTTGATAAGTTGAGTTAAATGTGAAATAAAGATAATATTAAAATATACATATATAAACTACCTTGTTGAAGTGTGAACTCATTTGGATTTAATGAAAACAGTTTCTCAGCTTTGATGTAGGCATCATGTTCTGTGTGGGCACTGACCCATAACTCATCACTTGTTCTCTGTAAAAATAAAATAAAACAATGTTTTATTTTTTTTTTTTTTTTTTTTTTAATATATAAACATTGTATGGATATATAAACATACAACTGTTTCATTTCTTGTTGCTTTGTTTTTTTGTAGTTTTTTTTTTATTGTTCAGTTTTTGGGATGAGTGAGGGGAGTGGGGCACTGACTGATTGTGTCTGTATGAAAATAGAAAAAGAAATAATCAAAGCTGTTGTAGTTATATCACAGGGGATCAATAATCTGCCCCTTTAATTTGAACTATGAAACAGTTTACCTGTTGACCTCAAGTCTACAGTGGTTAATTCATCATTAATGATGATATTATTCAATGTTTAAAATGTAAAATGCTATAAAATATGTATCTGTAAATATGTACCTGATTAGTTTTCTGAATAACTTTGTAAGCAGGTATCCTATGCCCCCACCATATCTGTCGTGATATACACCAGTCCCTGAATAGAAAACAGTTCTACGGAGTTATATATTTTGCTGCATTAGTTATTAAAGATATATCGTACATGATTAAATTTTATGGTTTGTATATCATTATACATAACTTAGCATATTACAAATATGACTTAAAAATATAATCTTTATGATCATGTGTGTTGAGATTTAACTAACACTGACACTGTAATGGTTACCACCCATCTCCACTTATAAATAAGACACATTTTGGACACTCAAATTTCAAATATAGAGTGGGTTGTTCATCTTACAGAAAAACTAACTGACAAATTTTCAAATTGAAACTATCAAACTGAACTAATGCACAATTGCTCAGAGGCCACTATGTGAGTTATTTCCAGTACATGTTTAAGCTACCAACCTTACATACCTTGTGTGTACAGGTTTGACAACTTCCTCACATATAATAACACAGAATTCCTTTCGTGTTCCACCCACTGATGGGATAACTGATCAAAAGTTACTAACCTTAACCATTCAACAACTATGGCATGACAATAATGATATAGTTGATGGTGCTTTTCAAGACTATCACTTCCATAAATCAAATAACAGGTACAAATGTATTTTGTATAAAAAAAGACCTAAATGTATATAAGCATGCAAAAGTCTTACAAGATACATTCTAGTTCTTCGTATTGCCTAATTTAGGACATGTACGCATAATTTTATCCTTAGCTGAATAGGTTATGGGGGAAGAGATTAGGAAGGATGCAATTATCTATTGTTCTCTGACTCGAAATTTCAATAAAAAATCTTACCTTGACTTTTCATCTTTCAGGAATTCATACCAAATCTTTTTATAATAGTCAGGTGTGAAGGTCAAATCCCCATTCTCTACTACCTGAAGTAGTGAAGTACAAATATATCACAAATTATCATTTTTCTCAGAATTATTTAACATCATTTCTTTGTTAATTAATGGTTTACCTAGGTTTTCAGGCTCACCAAAATAATTATGATGACATTATTTGACAATTTTAGTCCTCAACCTAGCGATTTATTCTACCAACCCGACAAGTGCGCATCAAGATCAGAAATCAGACAGCACATCAACACTGGACCGGAGAAGTTCCATATAAAGTTTAAAATGTTACTGTAACATTATACTGTAAAAATTATACAGCAGAGTGAACTGAAGTGAATATGAATAAATATACATTGTAGTAGTGATGAGACCAACAAGAAGTAGTGGCGAAAGTTTGTCAAAAGAAGAGGGGCTTAAAGAGGGCTTTGCCCTTTCATCAGAGCCCAGAATCATCCTACAAGTATACATATCCCTTTACCATAAACGTCACCACTACATGATATAGAACTGCCAATAAATAGCAGCATAAGTTTTAAGATATATATGTTTCCCCCACTTCACCATCCCCATGCCCCCAAAGATATAAACAATAACTTACTTTCACTGCATTTAGTGCCATATCTTCACAATTTATATACCACTGTGCCTTTAATATTGGTTCAATCACATCTTTAGATCTACTACATATAGGTAACACCATTGAATGAGGTTTCCTCCCTTTATATAATCCTTTCTTGTCCAACGCCTTAGCAACTGCTCTCCTTGCATCAAATCTCTTCAGCCCTATAAATGCCTCGGGAACGTTTTCCATTTCCCCTGTGTCATTGATAATGTTTATTAAAGGTAGTTTATGACGGACACTGATGTTATAATCATTATTGTCATGTGCTGGCGTGATCTTGACTGCACCTAAAATATATAAATAATTCAAGGGACATAATTCAGTCTGAATAATACACACAAAAAATTAATCAAATTTTGCTGGGCTGTAAGAAACATTAACAATACTTATAAGGTCATAATAAAAATATGGTGAGATAGTCTTCTGGAGAAGTCGTCTACCACTCAGTCTCAGGGACTGTAGGTTAGATCTCTCTTTGTTGGTTTGAGCCCTATTCTATCACAAGCATGTTTCATCATTTGACAACAGTTCTCAACATTGTTTCCTAGTTTTCATCACAAATTGAGCTTTGTAAGAATCTTACAGGATTTACCTTGACTGTTTACAGGCTAAGCGAGTTTCCTCTAAACTGTTACCAGAGAAATAGATATTGCCTTCTGTTAGCAGCCAGTGTTTGACTTTTTTTCTTGCTTATCATATAATTTATATTCTGAAAGAAATTACTAAAACTAACAATTTCATTTTGCACTTTTCCATAATAATTATTTTAAGTTCCCCTGCTGATCTACGTAAGAAATTCAAATTTCATGTTTTTAGGGTTTTGGAGCCTAAGTGGAGTTCATTCTAAGTACCTGTGCCAAAGTTCATGTCCACATAATCATCACATATTATAGGAATACGTCTATCATCTAGTGGATGCTGGACAAACTGTCCGTGCAGATGTTTATACCGAGGGTCCTCCGGGTGGACGGCCACAGCTGTATCACCCAGCATTGTCTCCAAACGAGTTGTTGACACTGTGATCTTCTCATCTTTAAAAATAATATATTAATTTATTTAGTTATGCTAAATTTTAAAGTGTGCCATGAGCTTAATTAAAACCATTTTAAAAATATATTCATATGTGCATTCCAATGACCCGAATTTTCTTTATATATATACCAAATCGCCAAAAACTGTGTTTTATCAATACAATGGCATTTGTTTTGTGTGTTTGTTTATTTGTTTCATTTTACGCCTTTTCCCAACAGTATTTCAGTCATATAGGCGGGTAGTTTCCTAGCCATCGTTCCTGGAGAGTTACACCTGTACTAGACTACCTTCCTCCGCGCTAAACTACCAAAGCATCTCCCGAGGATCGAACCCACGCCAGAGAGGTAACTGGATTAAAAGTCACCAACTCTAACCCCTCGACCACAGAGGCAGTTGTATTTCTTTAACCCTTACGCTGTTAAAACCTGAAAGTGAAGAGCCTTTGCAACCAGCATAGATACACATCTGTGCGGTCGGACAAGGCTCTACATTGTTGACTAATTTAAAAATTTTGTCTTGATATCCCTAAAAACTGAAAATGGACCGTTCCAAAAAAGAAAGCTTGGCAATTTCATTTAATACTTTAAGCATGTTATGGATTAATGTATTTGCCTCATGGGAATGTAACATATGATGTACTTATATAAACTGATGCATTCTTTTGTTTGAATGAACTTTTCCTACTTATGTGTTACCAATATTCTGTTTCAATAAACATTAGTTTATAATTTATTTGTTATATGTGTATGTTTAATTAATGTTTCTTTTCATTTCATTCATTGTTTTTGGAATATAAATTATTGCCTGTATTGTTTAAATAATATCAGATCATATTTTAAAAATAGAATTACCAACTGTAGCAAAACATTTGATAGCAAATTTTAATTTAGATGTAAAATACATTATTGTTGTTTAAGTTGGATTTTACATCATACCAACACTGTGAAGGTTATGTTAGCAAAGTCAGAACATTCTGGATTATTTTTAGAAACAAACCTGAATTAAGAACTGGGTAATCAAAAGAAGCCATCTCTCCAAACACTTGAGGCTTACTGTAACCAGGAACATATAATCTAGTCGGCCCTTTTACATCGACATTCTCTACCTGTGTAATTATAAAAGTACAGTTTGATCATTTTAACAAAAAAGTATATATGATAAAAAGACGGTACATTTCTTAGAAATTCTCATTTACATTTAAGATTGAGAGCTTCTGGTGAAACAGTGTGCCTAACTATTCTCAATGCTTGCAATTTAAACAATAGATTGGGTAAAGAAGAAATTTTCATAGTTTACAAAGGGAAACAATTCATTGGAAAACATGTTACAATGTTAGCGCAATGATTATTTTAAAATAAGTTTCTTTAAATCCTACTCTTAAATAGTCATTTGGCAACTTACTGGCTTTACTAGTGGATGTAGATGTGGATGTCTTGCATGAACAGGCACCAGAGTAGAACCCCTGCCTTCCATAAGCAAGCTTAATTAGCTTCCTTGAAAAAATCCAAAGTTTCTGACCAGATTCAAACTCACAGCTGTGAGTGGCAAGTCACCTAAACCACTCAGCATTTTACAGAAAGCCCCTGTTAAGTGTTATATATATTGGTATGAGACCTACCATTATAACCTAGAAGAACTTTCTGAATTATATAGCGAATGCATTTGGTGGTAGCAATATTACCTCTATATCAGAAATAGCTGACTTCAGTTCACATGACCAGTTCACTAGTCTATCACATCTGTATATCAGACCCTCATCATGTAGTCTCACAAATGCTTCAGCGACAGCTGCACTCATTTTCTGATAGTGAAAAGGAGTTTAGTTTTTAAAAACAGTAAATCAAGAATTTAGATATAAAATCTGAATATAACATAGTAGATAAACAAAAAATCACATTAAATTGTCTTGCTAGCCCATACAATTCAATATGTACCATCTTGCAATTTCAAGCACCTGCCACTTCTGATCACAGTACCTTACTTTGGAGCCTATATAATTTAACTTGTACCTTTATCTGATACAGGAAGTACATTTTGTTTATGCACTGTGGATAATAATAGTGTCATTGAAAGAGTCCTTGATCTAGGAAGAGTATTTGACTGTTACACATTTTAACATACCTGATCATATATTACACTTCCTCACGCAATCCTTGCATAGCAAATTGCACTCAAGCCAAATGATATAAGTTGCAGATAAAGTACCATACTCTTATAATAACCCTAGGATATTACTGTAATTTCCATGACCTCTTGCCATTCATTAGTTTTATAACAAGTAACTTTCTTTCCGATCTTACTTTTGTCAAATTAAAGAACTTAATTTGGTTATCTTTGTCTAAACTCTACCTTGTCCATAGTAAAACAAGCTCTTTCCCAATCTAGAGATGCCCCCATTTTCTTCATTTGTTCATATATGGTATCACCTTTACTGAAAGAGAATACATGTACATAGTATTAAGCATAAGTTTTGTTTCTGTTTTTATTGTTGTTTTTTTTACTTGGGTTTTACATCACCCCAACACAGTACAGGACATTTGGCAACTTTCCAGCTTTACTAGTGGTGGAAGACCTTAGGTGGCTTATGCCTGTCCTTGTATCCTTTGAAGTTTCAGACTTGAGCAGGCACCTGAGTAGAACCACTGACATTTTTAAGTTAACTGGATTGTTGCTTCACATAAGAGTAAGTCTCTAGCCAGATTTAAACCCACAGCAGTGAGGGGCAAGTGGTTTGAAGTAAACTACCTTCACCACTCAGCTACATCCATCCCACCATTATAATACACATTTCTCAAAAGTAAGTTGCCTCCCTTTATAACACCCAATTCTCAAGTTTTGCATTCTGAATTTCGAATAAAAAAATGACAGGAAAACAAAAGGTCTTTCCAGCAAATGACTGATATTGTATCTTCATTTTTTTTTGTGTTTTGTGCCCCTGTATCAGCTCATTTTTTCAAAACAAGATTAATATTGAAATTTGATATTCATAAGCTGTACTTATTATCATGTGTTATTCAAATAATTTTAAACTTTAAAGCTGCACGCCTCTAGATGAGCCAAAATATTTCAAGAAAATCAATATTGAAAAAAATGCACTGAACTTTCATGCAAGGTAATAAAATCAAGATCCAAGTTATATTTTACATGTTATGGCCGTTTAAGTATTTTATCACCATATTTCTACTGCGCTACTAATGCAGTAAGGGATGGTTTTGCATATGTTGACCACTTTTTGGTAATTTTCATGGATTGTAATAGCTGATTGCAATATGTAAATTACTTTATTTGTTCACCTCACATTATTTTACTTTAAAATTATTTAATACATTTCCAAAATTTTTAAGGAAATTAACATGAATCTGGAGGTGTGCTGCTTTAAACATGGTACTTGTTTTATTTAAGAAAAAATATATCCAAAACAGTGATTTTATCGTTCAATAACATCACTGTTTGGAGTTCGGATGAGAGGAATTATATCACGAGGGTGAAGCCTGAGTGATATAATGATGCGCATCCAAACAACAAACAGTGATGTTATCAAGCGATAAAATCACTGTTTTGGATATATTATTTCGATTCTAACACAACATCAACAAATAAATGCTGCCGTACCTGATATTAACCTATATTGCGCCTGATTTGTTTCCATACTTATTTTCAGCGCATCACATTTTTAGTGGTTTCGTCACGTGTATAATGAAATATGTCACATGTCTAAATATATAACGTCAAACTGTGATTTTATCGCATAAAACACACACACTTTTGGTTCTTCTATGTTCAATGGGGAAAAATGCAGGTCGTGTTAGAATAACTTGTAAAGATAGTTTCATACCATCAAATTACCTGACATTAAATTAAATCTACACAAACCTCTCTTTCCATTTCCAAACACGTCGTAGAAATTCTTCTCTGCCAACGTCGTGCCTCGTCTTTTTCTCCTCCTTCCACAGCTGTTTCTCCACAACTACTTGTGTAGCTATCCCAGCATGATCACAACCAGGTATCCATAGAGTCTCATACCCCCTCATACGATGCCTTTATGATATAACATCACATAAAATTCTTGAACATCAACACTGATGAATTAATTCATTAAAAATTGTTTTTCATACAGTATAAATTATTCTCTTTTCATACAGTATTAATTAATAACAAAAATATACAAGCAAAAAAAATTATATTGCTGAAAGGAACTGAAAACTTTCAGTAAAACTCAGCTTGTTTAAGCCAGTCTCTACATTTTGTATTTTGATATCATTCTTTTAAATTTGAATGGACTGCACCAAATTCAATGGAGGGCAAATGCATTGCACAAATTTATTAGATTATAGGTTATCAATGATCTAAGACATTGCTTTGTAAACTATATAAGAAAGGAGTTACCATCTAACAATAGCATCTTGTACAGCACATGTAAGAGCGTGGCCAAGATGAAGAGTTCCCGTTACATTTGGTGGAGGTAGGCATATAACAAACTTCTTTGATTTATCCACTCCTTCCTTCAAATGATAGACAGAAAATCACACACACATAAAATACATTGGTACATAAAATTGGAAGATAATTTATGCACCCTTATCACAATAATAATATCTCTGACTATCATTTATAGATAATTATCTTCCATTCAAAACTGATCTTAATAAATAAATGTAAACTTGACAAATATGGTATGAAAACTTCTGATTGAATCATTTTTTCAAAAACTTACTTTAGGGGAGAAGTAACCTTGCTTCATCCACCATTCATACCATGCTGCCTCCACATACTGGGGGTTATAAGCTGCTGGTAGTTCACATGTTGTGTCTGTTATAATAAATGGGCAACATTATGTTTAACACTTTTATGTAAATTGAGTAACTGATGGACTGCCGTTTTGTTTTTGAAGAAAATTTTGTGTCATTTAATAACATTGTAAAATCATACCCAAGTGTTTGTTTCTTTCTTTCTTGTTTGTAGGTTATCATCTGACTCATAATTCTGAGGTCATGGGTTCGAATCCATTAAAGGTGAGATTCTCTTTCAATTTCCTCAATTCACACTGGTGTGAAGTAACTGTTTACAAAAACCTAGTAAGCAGTCTTCTGGTGTGGGAATTCTAACAAAACAGAAATAGGCTTCATAGATACATGTAATTATACAGTCGGTATTTACCTTTCTTATCCCCTGGTGCAGTAGGACATGTGTAATCTGTGGCTATATATTGTTTCTTACCACTATCAGCACTTTGTGGAGCACTCTGAAATCAAAAATAACAGACCTGTTAGACAGTTTAATGTATCTCCCATTTTTGTAAAATACATTGTATTTGTAAGAAAGAATACAAATTGCATGTAATAATGCATATAAAAGAAGTTTTTTACAATAGCTACTTATTATCACTATCAATACTGTTTTTGTCTAAAAATAGAGAATTATAAGCCAACTGGTCCAAGATTATAACAGCCATTTAGTATCTTAATGTTTTTAACATGATGATATGAAAACTTTTAATGAAAAGAGCACTTCAGTTAAAGGTTATCAATCAATTGACTGTTAATTGGATGCTAACATAAGACTGGTTTTCTAGTTAGTAGTTGCTTGTCTCATTTTATTTTGCCTCTATCACGACTTCTGTAAAGTGCACATGTATATCATACAGGGAAGCCAAAGGCTTTGGCTTGCCTGGCTGTAGACTACATATCTGTATTTAAAAGGAAATCAAATAAAAAGCAATAAAAATATATATATAGAATTCTATATCAGTGAAATTTTCAGTGTCAATTCTAGAAGAGCAACAACATTTTCAATGTAACTCAATAAAAATTGCCGGGGTATTTTGATAACAGAACAATTGCATGAAATACTGAATGGCACCTTAAGAAAGAAAATTGTAAAATAAAAATGAACATTTTTTTTATCCGACTTCCATGTCCATAGGCTTTGTCTACTTTCATACGGGGAAGTCAAAGACCGGACCCGCGAAGCGGGTCCGGGCTTTGGCTTGCCCGGCTATAGACTACACGTGTATATTTAAACGAAAATCAAATAAAAAACAATTAAAAAATATATAGAATTCTATACCTATCAATGAAATTTTCAGTGTCAGTTCTAGTCGGGCACCGCCATTTACAATGTAACTCAATGATTATAGGCGGGGTATTCCGATAACGGAACAAATCTCAACTTTTCGGATAAATAAAAAACGTCGAGTGTTCTGAGTGAAAACGGAAGCGGTGCATGTAATACCGAATGACACCTTTAAAACGGAAAGAGTGAAAGGAATTTTTAACGACTTCCCCGTGCATAGGCTTTGCCTAATTTCATATTATTACCTATATATATAAGGAAAGGGTATTTTTTAGAAAATAGCATTTTGGGAAATATTTCTTTATGGTGTACAAGAAAATTCATAAAAATTTACCATTTACAAATTAATTTGGTACGTTAATATTTGAGTACAAATTTTACAATTTATTTAAATACACCAACAGTACAGAAAGGTTTCTTTATAACAACACATCTGATGAGATACGTACTGTTGCACAATAACTTCGGAATTTAACAATGTGGTAGATATCTTTAAATGCTATAGTTTTGTACAATTTTAAGCCGATTCTATCATAAATCACTTTCATGTTGCTCCAGGAGGCTGACATCTTGAATTTTTGGAACACTTTGGACTGTACCGTAAGCTCTAATATGGCGGCATTGTTTTCATCGCGCACACTAGATTGCAAAGATTTACACAGTTACCTGAAGACATTGTCATCACATATACTTGACAGACTTTATAACCATCCAGCTACATGTTTAGCAGTATATAGGTACATGTTTTTGTGGAAAATTAACAAATGATACTTAATATTGTTTTCGTACTCAAAATTATTCGAACCCATGGACAATGTCAGTATTAGTTATTTGGCATAATTTTTCATGTCATTCCATTTGATCATTTTTTTTCAATATATATCTTAATATTTTATGATTTTAATGGTTTAAATAAAATAAATTAATTATGGAATGCAATATGTGTGTATCTAGTACAACTAATTAGACTGTTCAAAGAGACACCGAGAGAATTTTTGAAGGGCACTGTCTTTTTCCAACGGTTTGACAGCAAGAAAAAAAAAGTCTGTAAAACGGATCAAACCGTTCACGCCGAATTAATAAGGCTAGTGTGTATCCTGCATCGAGTTAAAATGCAGTCTCTCAGTAAAGTGTGGAGGTTATCAACTTATTGTGTTTTTTTTATTACAGAGAACTTCCAGAATTAGCCAAACATTATGTGATGAGATTGTTATTTGTTGATCAGCCAGTATCCCAGGCTGTAATATCATTGTGGGTCAACAATAAACATGCACAGTAAGTTGTTCCTATTGATAAATAAGATTAAGCATGTTAAGGTTTTATAATATGAAATTAGGCAATGCCTATGAACGGGGAAGTCGGTATAAAAAATCCTTTCATTTTTCTGTTTTAAAGGTGTCATTCGGTATTATATATACCCGCTTCCGTTTTCACTCGGAATCCTCGACGATGATTGTTTATCCGAAAAGTTGAGATTTGTTCCGTCATCAGAATACCCCGCCTATTATCATTGAGTTACATTGAAAATGGCGGCGCCCCACTTGTACTGACACTGAAAAATTCATCGATAGGTATAGAATTCTATATATATTTTCAATTGTTTTTCATTTGATTTTCTTTTAAATATACACATGTAGTCTATAGCCGGGCAAGTCAAAGCCCGGGCCCGCTTCGCGGTCCCGGCCTTTGACTTCCCCGTATAAATAATCATCGATAAGTTTTAAAGGTGCCTAGGTGGTGCTTTAGTACAGTCGAATTTACATATGTTGCACATTAATCTTTTACTTTTACTCGCCATAATACATCATCATTCATGTAAATTTTCCTTTCCTTTATTTTGATATTTAATATGTATATATAAACATAAAGTCTATTTATAGTTTAAATTTACATGATTTTTACATCAATTATTATAGAAAACTGACAGAAAAATTATTGGAATATATGTAGCAATACAGCTTCTTGAATTACTTAAAACAATGATTATGTAAATGTATAAAAATGAAAGACATAAAACAGAATCACGTTTGTGCCCAGAATGCCAAGTTTGTTTCAAGTATATACTATAGAGTTTGTTTCAGGTGTACAATTATTGTATTAACAGAGACCTCTAAAAATAGACTGGCCCTTGGAGACCCGAGTTGATCAATTTCCGCCATCTTATTTTACGTTCACAAATGTGTTTATATTTTCATCCTTTTCTGAGAATAATTCTCTTCTTAATCTTTAATGCTTTTTTTTTTACATTTTTGCAACTTCTTTTTTGTTACTTCTTTTGATTACTATAACAAATATTTGATAACATGGCAGCCTACATTTCAGTAAATTTTTTCGTGTCAAATATGGTCTTGGAGAATCTCCCAAAAATGTGAACTTGCAGGATAATTAATTCCTGATACAGATTTTAAGTGTATGATGTCCTAGTTTCCTCTCCATTTAAATATAGCTCTGTGGTATTAATTATGTTATTGTTTTGTGTTGTTTCTTTTTTTCCAGGGAACACAGACTATCAACACGAGCTCTGACTGATCTTAGAATCTGGTATGAGCAACCTTTACCTGGAGGTATGCAAGGTTGGATCCTCAACATGACCTTTAAAGCCAACATGAAAACAGCACTACTGGGAGGGTATATATGACCTTTACTTCAAGTTATCACTGAATTTAGAAAACATGCAGTTTACTGTCAATTTTTGAGAAAAGTGGGCATGCTGCACCTGGGACAGCTCTCATTAATTTCTGTGATAAACTTTAAGTCTTTACATATCTTATTTATTTGTTTGTGGTAAATTGAACTCATATTATTTCACATAAGACTAGTGTTTCCTTTAGTTTTTATGCCACCGCAGCATCTGCGATGCGGTGGCATATAGCGATTCACCTGTGTGTGTGTGTGTGTGTGTGTGTGTGTTTGTTTGCGTGTTTGTTTGTGTGTGTGTGTGTTATATAGATTATATAGTGAACTTAAAAAATCTTCTTGTGAAAAACCACTAGTCCAATTTCAACCAAACTTGGCAGGATTGATCCTTGGGTGAAGGGCTTCCAAAGTTGTTCAAAGAATTTAATTCCATGCAGAAATCTGGTTGCCATGGCAACCAAAAGGAATTATAAGAATAAATTTAAAAAATCTTCTTGTAAAGACCCAAAAGGCCTAGAGCTTAGATATTTTGCATAAGGCATTGTCTGGTAGACCTCTACCAAGATTGTTCAAATTATAGCCCGGGGGTCAAAATCGGCCCCGCCCCGGGGGTCATTGATTTTCACTAAATGTACATATAGTAAAAACTTAAAATACCTTTTTGTAAAGACCTATAGGCATAGAGCTTAGATATTTTGCATAAGGCAATGTCTGGTAGACCTCTACCAATATTGTTCAAGTTATAGCCCTGGGGTCAAAATCAGTCCTGCCCCGGGGGTCATTGATTTTCACTAAATGTACATATAGTAAAAACTTAAAATACCTTTTTGTAAAGACCTATAGGCATAGAGCTTAGATATTTTGCATAAGGCAATGTCTGGTAGACCTCTACCAATATTGTTCAAGTTATAGCCCTGGGGTCAAAATCAGTCCTGCCCCGGGGGTCATGGATTTTCACTATATGTACATATAGTAAAAATTTAAAATACCTTCTTGTAAAGACCCAAAAGGCCCAGAGCTTAGATATTTTGCATAAGGCATTGTCTGATAGACCTCTACCCAGATTGTTCAAATTATAGCCCTGGGGTCAAAATCGGCCTGGCCCCGGGGGTCATTGATTTTCCTCATATTTACATAGTAAAAACTTATAGTAAAAACTTTAAAAAAATTTCTTCTAGCAATTGACAAATGCTAGAGGTTAGATACTTTGCATGAAACATTGTGAAGTGAACCTCTAGCAAGAATGTTCAAATAATAGCCCTGGGGTCAAAATTGCCCCTGCCCCGGGGTCATTGATTTTCAATATATACATATAGTAAAAAATAAAAAAAAATCTTATTGTCTGAAGGTACAAGGCTTAGAGCTTTAATATTTGTTAAATTTTATCATCTACAGGTATTCTACCAAAGTTGTTCAAATTTTGCCTCTAGTGTCAAAATTAAAAGTGAACTTTGATATCAGCTGACCTACATTTTGACAAAGTGTATTACATGTTGTCCTTTGATGCAATCATGAAATTTTAGGCTGTGTGAAATATGACCTTCACCACCAAATTCACTAGACTCAAGTGCATTGATATATTCCTACTCTGATCTTTTTATTGAGTTAACAATAGATTTAACCACTAATCTGATAATAAGAATTAAATATGCATTATGACAATCTTCAATTGTATAGAAACAAAAAAAATCTGTTCCTACACTACTATTTAGTGTTGTATTAATGCGGTGGCATAGCATTTTTCTCAAATGCAATCTTGTTTATTCATGCTGAAAATTTCATGCAAGACAATGGCATAGTTTAAATCAAAGAACTGTGTTAAAATGATGTCATTTTTGCATATTAATGAATGAAACTGCATGCTAAAGGTGACGTTATTTCACAATTATAAATGATGTTGCAATTTCATATGCTGTTGCAAGAAAAAAGTTACGGGTGAAATGGCATAAATTTCCATGGATAATTGTTTTATTAATGTAATGAATTTAAAATATGATGGAATATAGTAGAATATGCAAGAAAAAGTATCTGACATATGCTTTCGGTTTGGTTGGAAATATGGCGGGTTCCTGAGGGACGGATATTCCCATCCGAACGGCAACATATGACAGATATTATTATTTCTATTTCAGTGGTAAACCATGGACTGGTAGAGGTAAAGCACCCTTGCCACCTGACAGAAATAGTCGAGATGTGGAGTTTCTGGATAAATACGCCATTGAAAGATGGGAGGTAACTAGATAAATGTGCAATCTTGGCTAATTTGAGCTGCGCCATGACAAAGCCAACATAGTGCGTTTGGATCAGGATCCATGCTTTGTGCTATCAGTTTCTCTAATTGTTATAGGGTTTGTAGGCGAACAGCATGGATCATGACGCGGCTCATTTTTAGCTTGACTTTTTCACACAAAAAAATAGAGGTATTGTTACAGTCATGTCGGTGTTGCCTTGTCGCAAACTTGTACCTTGATCATAACTTTTTAAGTTCTTGGTGTATTGTCTTCATACTTGTTATTCAGAAATGAATATTAGTATTTAACAGAGATCAACTGAGGACTGAAAGCGTAAAAAACATAAAATTTGAATTTCTTTCATAGATCATCTGGGACATTAAAAACAAAAATATATGCAAAAAGATAATAAAGAAATATTGTCAGAAATAAATTGAAAATTGCATTTTTGTGCCATTCTCAGTCTGCTTTGAGAGAAGAGTTGCAAGGCTTTTCAATTTGGAGTCATTTTTCATAACTTAAAATAATTATTCTGAAAAAACAGAGTGCATGAATTATTATAAATTTTGTACACAGGTTACGGGTCTAGATCTATTTTCAATGGAAGGTTATTTCAAAATTTCCAAAGTTATTTCAATTCGGGTCATATCAGAAAACCTCAGTGGAGTCCCATTAAGATCAGGTCAGCCTGAATATCAGATCATGTTGGCTGTACCCTGTAGTGTTTACTTCTTTAATTTAGTATTTTGATATCAAAATCGCTTGAATTAATTAATGATGAACAATTCCAACATCAATTTAAATGTTTGTTCTCTGTCTTGAAGTTAGGTCTCGGTCTAAAATTAGAAAGACATATGAAATACATTTGCATGAGGTTGTCTGCCTTTAAAGATCTCATTAATTTAACTTGAGTGAAAAGTTAAAGTTTGTTCTAAATTTTGTAGTATATACTGGTAAGTTATCCAGGAAGTCTGTTTGGTGGACCGACAGCAGAAATATGACCAAAAAGTGTTAAAATCATTGGGGGAAAAAACAAAACACCACCAAAAAACCATCTAGCATGGGCTTCTACATTATAGTTCAGCTATACCTTTAAGCTGCATCAAATTGGTGTCTGGGTGCATCCGTGGATGTCACTAGTATTCTTACATGTATGTACACTAAACTTCTGTTTAAGCCTCTTAAAATCTGCAGTTTTTGTACGTTGATAAATGAAATGAAAATTGCACCAGATAATATTGTAAAAAACTTGTACCATAATCTCTTACTATTCCATGTAACAGTGTGTGCTACATTTCATGGTTGGTTCCCGGGAAGGAACAGATGGTGTGAGCCGGGACACAATAGAGGTTCTCAAACACTCAGGATTAATGAAAGTGTAAGTACATTTATTATGCTTCAACATTTGATTTGATTTGACATCTTGATTTTATATTATTTTCAGAAATAGAAAACAACAACCTGTTTATGTGTTTTAAAGTTTTTCATCATGTGATTGCCAGTGTAGTTTCCAAAAACCTTGTCTCATTTCTTTTAATATTAGTTGGTAAATCACCAACAAAAATTAGTGACAAAACCACCAGAAATTCTTTATTCAAATGGCATGGACTGTTTATTCAAATAGCATTGGCTGTTTTATTCAAATGACATGGGCTGTTTTATTCAAATGGCATGGACTGTTGCAAAATAAATAAAAAAATTAAATTCACTGGTATTTGCTCACCATTGTGTGGCTTAAATACTGGCACTATTAAAACAATCATACAAAAATCTGTATTGCATATTTCAGCGAGGAAGGTGACCCTTTGCCATACATAACACCTGGAGGTTTCCAGTTTTTGTTGATGGATACACCTTCACAAATCTGGTTTTTCATGCTACAATACTTGGACATGGTGGACGTGAGTGATTTTCATTTGATTAAACCCTTAACCTGCTGGAACCACAAGTTCGAAACCTTTGTCACTAGTATAGAGCCAGGCCAGCGCGCACATCTGTACAGTCTGTCATGGACCTGTACTGTTGGTAGCTCAGTATTTATATTTTGATATTGAAATCCCTTCACCATTAAATGGACTGTTCCAAATTCAAAGTAGGGCAAGTCCATTACACAAATTCAGCAGTAGCTGGTTAAGAGTATGATGTAGGGGCATCTGTGGCAGAGTGGTTACAGTCATTGACTTAAAATCACTTGCCCCTCACCCCTGTGGGTTTGAATCCAGACAGGGACTTTGGTTTCTTTTATGTTAGGAAGCTATCTGGCTAACTTTCCAAACGTCAGTGGTTCTACTCGGGTGCCTGAAGTTATGCATGGAGGGGCACCTGAGGTCTTCCTCCACCAGTAAAGCTGGAACGTTGCCATTTGACCTTAACAGTGTTGATGAAAAGTGTTGTAAAACCCAATAACAACAAGTGTATGATGTCTTGTGGTAAAAAGATAGTACTGAATAAGTGTGCTATTTTAATGGATTGTTTCTTTTGAGTTGACTGAGTACATATGTTTTTTTTTTCATTAATTAAATAACATATTGAAAAAAAGATATTTTGACATTGACATATTCATGAAGAAAATTTCCTTTCAAATCTATATACATGTATGTAGCTTAAACTTCTGTTTATTTATGCCAATAATTAATATGTAGCAGTATTGTTCCAGAATGATTTAATTTTTAACTTATTAATTATTGTTAATTCTAGTCTCATAATAATTCTTTTCTTTTTATTTTTAGAGTCGAGGTCTGGACCTTGTTGAATGTCTCTCATTTCTGTTTCAACTTAGTTTTTCAACTTTAGGAAAAGTGAGTTTACCTCTAAATATACTCTAACTTTGTACAATTGACTCATCCACTAGTACTTACTAATAGAGTTAATAACTTTTTTGGGCAGGAGAAGTCGAAAATTGTAGCCCGCTTGCAGAATTTAGCAAATACTTAACTGCTTATCCTGCAGGAATAGTGGCTTTAAAATTATTAATATTTTCTTTCCTGCATCTAGAATTTCAAAACTATGGGGGATTGTCCCACACTCAACTGAAAAATGTTGGGGATTTGAAAAAAAAAATGTGGGGGCATGCATTTACCTAATAATATGACGTTTCTAAAAGAATTCATTTATTTTACATTTAAGCATTTTTAACAGATATTGTCCGCTCAGCAACGAAAAAATAGATAAAATAAAATTTTGACAAATACTATAATAGTAAAGTGCGCAGATCAAACCATCAATACTGCGAGATGACCTGGTCGGCTGCTACATGTGTTTTATAACGCATTTTAGTCATTACTGCAAGTGAAAACATGGCAGAAGGGTTCAAGAAACGATGAAGATCAACTGAATAAAGTTGAACAGATTGTCAGATGCACGACTTGACACACATTGACTTCATTAAAATGCGTGATTTGCAAACAATATGCGCAAATCAGACAATCTAGTGGCCTAGATGTAACTCTGTTTAATCATTAAGCTGTTTACCTGAGGTTTAAGGCTGCTATATTTCTTTATATATAGGAGTAAAATATAAACATATATCTTGTATAAGAAATGATATTGCATTTACAGTGTAAGAAATGATATTGTAATTACAGTATAAGAAAAGATATTGAATTTACAGTATAAGAAATGATATTGTATTTACAGTATAAGAAATGATATTGTATTTACAGTATAAGAAATGATATTGTATTTACAGTATAAGAAATTATATTGTATTTACAATATAAGAAATGATATTGTATTTACAGTATAAGAAATGATATTGTATTTACAGTATAAGAAATGATATTGTATTTACACTGTAAGAAATGATATTGTATTTACAGTATAAGAAATGATATTGTATTTACAGTATAAGAAATGATATTGTATTTACAATATAAGAAATGATATTGTATTTACAGTATAAGAAATGATATTGTATTTACACTGTAAGAAATGATAATGTATTTGCAATATAAGAAATGATATTGTATTTACAGTATAAGAAATGATATTGTATTTACAATATAAGAAATGATATTGTATTTACAGTATAAGAAATGATATTGTATTTACAGTATAAGAAATGATATTGTATTTACAGTGTAAGAAATGATATTGTATTTACAGTATAAGAAATGATATTGTATTTACAGTATAAGAAATGATATTGTATTTACAATATAAGAAATGATATTGTATTTACAGTATAAGAAATGATATTGTATTTACAGTATAAGAAATGATATTGTATTTACAGTATAAGAAATGATATTGTATTTACAGTATAAGAAATTATATTGTATTTACAATATAAGAAATGATATTGTATTTACAGTATAAGAAATGATATTGTATTTACACTGTAAGAAATGATATTGTATTTACACTGTAAGAAATGATATTGTATTTACAGTGTAAGAAATGATATTGTATTTACAGTATAAGAAATGATATTGTATTTACAATATAAGAAATGATATTGTATTTACAGTATAAGAAATGATATTGTATTTACAGTATAAGAAATGATATTGTATTTACACTGTAAGAAATGATATTGTATTTACAGTGTAAGAAATGATATTGTATTTACAGTATAAGAAATGATATTGTATTTACAGTATAAGAAATGATATTGTATTTACAGTATAAGAAATGATATTGTATTTACAGTATAAGAAATGATATTGTATTTACAGGACTACAGCACAGATGGTATGAGTGATGGACAGCAGAGATTTTTACAACATTTACGAGAATTTGGACTCGTGTACCAAAGAAAGGTAATCTGACTTGTATAATGGATATATGCTCTGGATTGAATTCAGAACTTTGCATTTGTCACAAAATGTTTCGCTTTTCATGAAAACAACTGATGCATTTGTTAAAGACCAAGTAACTAAATTGTCTGTTTATTACAACCAATTTGGAAAGTTTTACTCACAGTATTAATGGGATTTCAGTTTAAAATTCTGGAATAAGTATGATTTTACTCTAACCTGTTGAATTTCTTAAATGAACTTTCCCTGCTTTCATTTTTGGGACTGTCCATTATCAATAATGGGGGTATCAAGATGAAAAATTAAAAGTTTGTCAGCCGACAGGATAGAGTCTGTTCAAACTGCACAGAGGTAAAGGCTGACCCGGCTCTAAACTTATGTTAAAGGCTAATCACTGTCATTCTGGTAGGATCAGGGCTAATAAAGATGCAATACAATCTATAGAATCATCAACAAGTCAGTTGGTACAAGTTTTCAGGTGTTTGCCTGAAAGTCAGGTTTTTTATTACTCCTGAAAGCTCTCTATTTCTATATGAAACCAATTGAATTAATACTAAATTTAGGTTTTTAGGTATCTTTAACTTGTACACATGCAGGTCATACAACTAAACTTATAATAAGTAAATTAGTCCGCCCACTAAGCTCATAAGGAAGAGCATTGGCTTTCAGTTTGGCATAGGCTCATTGCTTTCGCTTTCAGCTGGATAAGGGTTAAACACTTTTATTAAGTTTGTAAGTTGTTATTAAACTTTATATAAAACTATGATCGATATATTATATTTGTAGAGAAAAGAGAAGAGATATTACCCAACTAGATTAGCTATAAACCTGGCGTCTGGCTTGACTAGTATAGGTACAGACTCTCACAGACAAGGATTTATTGTTGTAGAGACTAATTATAGACTCTATGCTTACACTGGTGAGTAAATTTAATAGATTGTATGTGAAATTAGTAATTCAGGAGCGGCTGGTTTGATCCTCAAGCGAAAGGGAAATTTCTTTGTGACAATAATTCTCTGGTAATGTTGGTTATTTATCTTTCACTGCTTATTCTGAAATCATGCTCGATAACTTGCATGGGTGCAAGTTTTCAGGAATATGCCTGAAGCTCAGGTTTTTTGTGACAAATTTCATCATGTTTTACTATTAGATTCATGATCATGAATAAAGGTTTTCAGGTTTTTTCCGAATTTTCAACTTGCACCCATCGATAAGTAGTTAGTCACTTGAAGAGAAAATTTGAAATACTTGTTAGTTATCCAGGAAAGCTGGTTACCGCTAAGATGTTACCTAAAATGTGTTAAAATCGGCATGTTAACCAAATAAACATTTGGTATACTGAGTATGGCAGAGTAAGTATGGTGAATGTGGCATATTCAATAATACATATTCTTAGGCTTTTGTAAACGATGTACTCAAATTTCAATAAAATATAATAAAAAGTTGAAGATAATGCACACAAATAGGTTATTATCTTATAGATCAGGTATTTTACTTGGTATGAATAACTTATATTCAGTTTCATTTCAAAATTGTAAATGTGTAAAACTGTATTATTTATGGTTGTTTTTTTTTTGTTTTTTTCAACTTTCTTTTGATTTTCTTTTACATTTCTTAAGGTTACTGGCATTGAAATAGATTTGTCTGAAATTTATGGATACTACATATATTGTCAACTTAGTGCAGTTACCGGTTAACTCCTTTTAATTTATATAAGAAAATAACCCATTATTGCACTAAGTTGAAGAATTATATCAAGCAAAAAAAAACACTTTTCTTATAGGCATTATACTATTTATGTATGTCTGTTTGCATAGTCCATGGGTATGTTTTATATTTACAAAGAACAATTTTTTTTCAGATTCTCCACTAAATATAGCATTGTTAGCTTTATTCACGGAGATGTTATACAGATTTCCTAACATGGCAGTTGGTAACCTGTCCCGAGATAGTGTAAGAGCTGCACTAATGAGGGGAATTACAGCTGAACAAGTGAGTGAAATACCGGTAGTTTACTCTATGATAAAATATTTTTAAAATTCTGTGAGGTGGCCAGTAGTATTTCAAGTTTTGCTGTTTTTTTAAGCATAACATATTAAACATAAATTTTATTCTTGTATCATATGCCACTGGCCCATAATACAACAAACATGAAAATGCAATGAGGTGATTATAATAAACATACATGTAAAATATTATAATATAAGTATTAGCAGCCAGTTAAAAGATGTTACGTTTTTAGCTCCACTTTTCAAAGAGAAAAAGTCCAATCTTAACCGGAACATATAAGCAGCTATTTTAATCTTAATAACATGAAATTCATCCTTGGTCTTTTTATTGTGCACCATTTCTGAGCTTACAGCTTAGGTTTTTGAAATTTTGACTTGCAGTGAGTATTGCCTTGTGGATCTCTAAAATGATCAACCCTTGGGATTACTTTTTGTGCCCCCACTAGTGGAGGGCATTTAGATTTACCCCTGTCCGTCCGTCCATCCTTCTGTCCATCCATCCGTCCGTTCTCTTTTGTGTCGCACGTAACTCAAAAAGTATTTGACCTAGAGTCATGAAACTTTACAGGAATGTTGGTCAGCATGTGTAGTTGTGCACCTGGGTATTTTCGTCTGGATATTTTTAGTATTTTTAGAGTTATTGCCCTTGATTAAGTAAAATTTTGCAATTTTCAACTTGTGTCGCAGGTAACTCAAAAAGTATTTGACCTAGAGTCATGAAACTTTACAGGAATGTTGATCAGCATATGTAGTTGTGCACCTGGGTATTTTCGTCTGGATTTATTTAGTATTTTTAGAGTTATTGCCCTTGACTTAGAAATTTTTTGCAATTTTCAACTTGTGTCGCATGTAACTCAAAAAGGATTTGACATAGTCATTAAACTTTACGAGAAGGTTGCTCAGCATATTTAGTTTTGCACCTGGGGTTTCACTTGTGGATTTATCCAGTATTTGTAAAGTTATTTCCCTTGACTTTGTAAAAACTGGTTTATTATGTTGTTATTTGTTCGAAGTGAGTGCTTGAGTTAGAATCAACCAACTTTTCAGGAATAATGAACAACATCCCTAAATTACAGGAATAAGGATTCACATCATTGTGAAGCTATGCACCTGGGACTTTGCATGTGGATTTTCTTCAGTTTTGTTAGAGTGATTGCCCTTGATTTACAGTAGTATAAATTTGCAATTTTCAACTTGTTCATGCATAGCTCAAAAAGTATTTCACTTGTAGGCCTGAAAGTTTAAAAATGCATGTGTACTTATGCAACTTGGGGTTAGCTTGTGGATTTATTCAGTATTTGTAAAGTTCTTGCCCTTTACTGAGTAAAAGATTTTTAGTTTTCAAAAAATATTTGACCTAGAGTCATAAGATTGACAGAACAGTGGTGTGGTGGGGGCACCTGTGTCCTATGGACACATTTCTAGTTTACATTGCCACATATAAGTAAAGAAACTACATGTTTAATGCGTAAAGCTTAGATGTTTAGCATTTTTGTTACACCCTCTGATCCTCTACAAAAATTATATAAAATCATGCCCCCTGGGGTCATTAAAGGGGTTGCTTCTCACTTGGTGTACCAGCAGGCTTTAAGGGTCAAGTTGGTTTTTCTTGGCATTTTACATGCATAAATCAGAGATATTCACATTTGCTGTGACCCTGTCTTGATTTCCAAATATGATAACATGAAAAAACATCAACTTGCCTAGGGTCCATGAATATTATGATTGCTTATTTCAATATGTTTTATATTTCAGATTATAAGTTTTCTAAGATCTCATGCACATCCAGAAATGATGAAAGAGGTAAGATGAAATTATGATTGTCATTTAAATAGTTCTGAGCTGGACTATTCAAAGAAAAGTTGGGCTGTACTTACTCACCATGGCATTAGTACCCAAAGGTCACACTGTGACCCCAACTTTTTTTCGCCTAAAATGTTTCTCTATCATACTCTAACAACATGCCAATTTTAAAGAAATTCTATTGAACAGTTTCAATTTTGCATAGATATTTATACGAAAACTCTCGAAAATGTCCTCATATGGGTAGTTCCAAATTCAAAAGTGTGCAACTCTTTTGACAAGAAATTTAGCAGTTTTAGGATGAAATTTTACAACTCTGAATTTTGATATTTTTCAGAAACCTTCACTTCCAGCAGTAATTATTGATCAGGTACGGTTATGGGAGCTGGAACGAGACAGATTTAAATTCAACGATGGCGTGTTATATAGTCAGTTCCTGTCTCAATCTGATTTTGAAAAACTTCGAGATTATGCAAAAGTGAGTATATATTATTACTACATGTATTTCATTAGGCGGGACTTGTGAGGTTCATTTGATTATTGTATTTATTTTTATTGAATCATCTGGGCAATATATTTCTAAACTCTAGGGTATTTTTTGATGGAGCGTATAAATAGGATTCATTCTTCCATTCTGACATACTTACCTGACAAAGGTTTATTATATGACATACTTACCTGACAAAGGTTTATTATATGACATACTTACCTGACAAAGGTTTATTATATGACATACTTACCTGACAAAGGTTTATTATATGACATACTTACCTGACAAAGGTTTATTATATACTAAACGCTGTTAATTTGAATAGAGAATGTTAATCTAAGTTAAGTATTATTTACTGTCCCGAATTGTCAAAAAACCTCAGTGGAGTCCCTTTAATTTGAATAGAGAATTATAACATTTTTAACCAGCTTAGCTGAAAGAAAATACTGGTTATTAAATTGGTGAATGTCTGTGGTCAGGGGGATTGATGGGTGTAAATCAATTTATTGTATTTAAACAAACTTTCACAGATGTATTATCTTGAAGTGTACAGCGCAAATTTTGTATTTGAACATTTTTTACCAAATTTATGGCACTTTGTTGTTGTTGTTTGTGTTTTCATATTGCTGTTTGGATTAATATCCTGTGAAGAACTCCAACATTTCAAACAAACTTTGTTATGAAATTTTTATTATTAATAGATGGATTGTCTTCATACTTGGACATCACACTTTGGACAATACCCTCAAAAAGGTCATACTGACCTTGACCTTTAAGAGGCAATTGTTACGTTTTCATATGATTTGCCATAATTTGGCTATTATTCCATATAAGAAGACACTAATGGTAGAACTGAAATATTTAAGTAAAGTTTATATTCATTTTTCAAATCAAAGTTTTGTAGACATGGAATATTTTTTTTATATATTTGTTGTATTTGACTATATTTTCAGGAGCTAGGTGTATTAGTGTGGGACAACAACAACAAGAGAGTGATGGTTGTCTCAAGGGCTGGTCACGATTCTGTCAAAAAATACTGGAAACAACAGAAACAGTCGTAACCCTGTACCTCCTGAATTTGTGTAATGGATTGGCCTTGCTTTCAATTTGGAACTGTCCATTGTAACTAGCGTATTTTAATACACCTGTTAAAATCGATTAATTCTTGTGAATGATAAAGTTTTTATTTGAATCGAGTTGACCTCTGGTTATATCAGCTTATCTCGTTGGTCAACGGTTTATTTTTTAGATTGCTGATTGGATTATTTCAAATTTCTGTTATTGAATTTGATAGGTTGTTTAATTACCTATATATAGGTTATTTTGCTTTGCTCGCCATTCTGTTTCTTATTTTGTAGTCGAGATCACGTTCTAGTCTTTTTTCTAATTAAATATTATTATTGATAAAAAAAAAAAAAAAAAAAAAAAAAAAAAAAAAAAAAAAAAAAAAAATGATTGGTAATTATTTGAATAGAATTTTTTCTTTTTCTTCTTTCTTTCAGAAAAAGAACTTAAAGAGTTAAAACACGACCTTAAAGTTACAAATTTGTCGGCTTATGCAGCTGGTTCACAAACAAATTTGAGGATTCAATGGGAATCTTTTGTTTTGTTCTGTTTATATTTTCATTTTAATTTTTTGCCAGCTGATACTTACACTTTACAGTTATACGCTCAGTTTTTGAGTCGTTCTTTTAAATCTGTAGATAGTATTAGAAATTATCTGAGTGGGGTTAGATCAATGCATTTATTGTTAGGATATTCATTAGATCATTTGAATCAGTTTCTTGTTAATTTGTCTTTAAAAGGTTTGACACGGATTAAACAACATTCGGTCAAACAAGCTGAAGCCATATCACCTCTGATTTTAAGCCAGATTCATGGTATTTTAGATTTTGATAATTCTAATGATTCAGTTTTCTGGTGTTTATTTTTGTTTGCCTTTTTCTTGGTGGCTAGAAAGTCAAATTTAGTTCCTACTAGAAAGGCTGATTTGGAAGTCAAACATTTTTTATTACGTGGTGATGTGTCTACCATTGGGGAAAATCTTTGTGTTACTTTTAGATGGTCTAAAACTATACAATTTGGCCAACGTTTGTTACAAACTCCTATTATTAAATTGTATCCTTCTATTTTATGTCCTGTTACTGCATATAATCATATGCTTAAGGTTATTCCTACTAAAAGTGTAGATCAACCTTTATTTGTGTTAAATAATGATAAAGCAGTTACTTATTACATGTTTCAAAAGAGATTAAGATCTCTTCTCTCTGAATTGGGTTATGATTCTTCTAAATTTTCGTCACATTCCTTTCGTCGTGGGTTTGCTACATTTGCCTTTGCTTCTAACATTGCTGCTGATGAAATTCAGATCTTGGGTGATTGGCATTCAGATGTCTACAAACGTTATATATCCCTTTCCGTACAAGATAAAATTAGTATTTTAAATTTTTGTTAGTGATAAGCTAATGTTTAAGTGAAACAAATATGTGTGTTAATCCTTGTGCTCTCTTTGTTTGGTATTCACTTTATTGTACTTGTGTTTAAGTTCTTTTCTTTTCTTTTTTCTTCAGTTTCCCGTTTAAATCGTCTAAGAAATCCTAAAATCAAGAAATGTATCATCATTTCCGATTCTATTGCCAAACATGTTTCTGACATTTGGGACACTGATATTCGTGCTTTCCCTGGAATCACTATTTCAAAGTTGACTTCAAAGTTAGCCAAAGGAGCAGTTAACTTGAATTATGATAATATCATTATTCATGTGGGTACAAATGACATTAATAGTTTCATCTGCTGGAGAAATTTCTTCTTTGTATTCAAATTTAATTTCAGTTGTTAAAAAACTTTACTGATCAATTTGATACTATTTATATGTCTTCTATTTTGCCTCGTCCAGTTGACTTTGTTAGTACTGGTGCGAAGGTCAAAACAGGTTAATTTGACTCTAGAATCAATTTGTAAAGATAGGAAAATCAAATTTTTGAAGTCTTTTCGTCCTTTCATGAAAGCCAGCCTCCCTAAGAGAGAGTTGTTTGCTATTAAAGATGGTGGCTTACATTTGAACTTAGAGGGCACAAGACGGTTAAGACAATTTTTTATCAATACTGTTGCTCACATGTAATTATTAAGGTTGTGCCTTTCGCTCCCATTTAAGAGAGGAGCTTATGGATTATTTGTATCCATATATTCATTTCGTTTTGTATTATATTATCTGAACAAGCTGTAGATTGATTATACTAAGGATAGTGTGGGCATTAATATTTGAATTTTGTTTAAGGGTGCTTATCTTGTATAAGATTCTTATCAAGTTAGCTATCTTTCTTTACAAGGTAAAAATTAATACCTTGAAGAAAATATTTCTGGAGAAAATGGTATTTCACGTTTTCCTAGAAAAGTTTTGTTCTTTCTATGAATGATTGAGATTTCTTATATTTGTATTTGCTACCTATTGTTTCTTTTTTTAATGAATTTATGAATTCACTGTATACTTTACAAAGTAATATTTCATACTTTGGAGTAATTCATTCTAGAGAAAAATGGTATTTGAACGTTTTCCTAGAATATGGACAATGAGTGATTTCTGTGTTATTTCTAGAGAAAATGGTATCTGACGTTTTCCTAGAAACAGAACAGTATTCAGTGAATTGTGTGTAAACTCGAATGAACACTGTTTTTTCTCAAATTGAATGTGTATTCGAGATTTATATATAAATCATCGTAAGACATTTGACTGCTTTCAGTAGTTTTTTTGGTGAACTTTGAGTGTTTTGTTTGATTATTTTGAATAATCATATTTATTGTTGTATAGTATAATTATATATATGCATATAATTTTTTTTTTTTTGTAATTATGTTTTTGGCCGGTGGGTTGGCGTTTTGGTAAATATTTATAATGATTAGTAATTCTTTGTGGATTGATTAATATATCATTCTATAGTTTATTAGTGTTGACCAATTTTGCAGTTATCTAGTGATAATTCGTGATCATTTATTAACCTAATTAAATATTATTATTGATATTTCTGTCTTGGTTTTTCTCTTTTAAATTTTAAATGAACAATAATTTAGCGTATTTTAATACACCTGTTAAAATCGATTAATTCTTGTGAATGATAAAGTTTTTTATTTGAATCGAGTTGACTCTGGTTATATCAGCTTATCTCGTTGGTCAACGGTTTATTTTTTAGATTGCTGATTGGATTATTTCAAATTTCTGTTATTGAATTTGATAGGTTGTTTAATTACTATATATAGGTTATTTTGCTTTTGCTCGCCATTCTGTTTCTTTATTTTGTAGTCGAGATCACGTTCTAAGTCTTTTTTGCCACCCACCTAGCCCTTTTTGGTTTAGCATTAAGTTTTTATTGCATTTAGTTATTTTAGTACTGCGTTTTGGTAAAATATTTTATAATGATAGTAATTCTTTGTGGATTGATTAATATATCATTCTATAGTTTATTAGTGTTGACCAATTTTGCAGTTATCTAGTGATAATTCGTGATCATTTATTAACCTAATTAAATATTATTATTGATATTTCTGTCTTGGTTTTTCTCTTTTAAATTTTAAATGAACAATAATTATTAATGGATTTCAGCATCAAACTACAATTGTTAAAAAAAGGTGAGATACAAACAGTATAGAGCTTGGTCAGATTACAGGATGTGAAGGCTGGCATGAACCTATACTGGTGGTCACTTCCGGTTCTAGCAGGTTGATTTTCTGGTTCTAGCTGGTTAACTTTCTGGTTCTAGCTGGTTGAATTTCAGGTTCTAACAGTGAGACTTTCAGGTTCTAGCTGGTTGAATTTCAGGTTCTAGCTGGCTGAATTTCAGGTTCTAGCTGGCTGAATTTCAGGTTCTAGCTGGCTGAATTTCAGGTTCTAGCTGGCTGAATTTCAGGTTCTAGCTGGTTGAATTTCAGGTTCTAGCTGGCTGAATTTCAGGTTCTAGCTGGCTGAATTTCAGGTTCTAGCTGGTTGAATTTCAGGTTCTAGCAGTTAGACTTTCTGGTTTTAGCAGGTAGACTTTCCGGTTCTAGCAGGTTAACTTTTTGGTTCTAGCAGGTAGACATTCGTTGATCGACTTTCTGGTTTTAGCAGGTAGACTTTCTGGTTCTAGCAAGTTGACTTTATGGTTCTAGCAAGTTGACTTTCTGGTTCTAGCAGACTTTCTGGTTCTAGCAGGTTGACTTTCTGGTTCTAGCAGGTTGACTTTCTGGTTCTATCAGGTTGACTGTCTGGTTCTAGCAGGTTGACTTACCTGTTCTAGCTGGTTGAATTTCTGGTTCTCGCAGGTAGACTTTCTGGTTCTAGCAGGTTGACTTACTTGTTCTAGCAGGTTGACTTTCTTGTTCTAGCAAGTTGACTTTCTGGTTCTAGCAGGTTAACTGTCTGGTTCAACAGGTTGACTTTCTGGTTCTAGCAGGTTGACTTTCTGGTTCTAGCAGGTTGACTTTCTGGTTCTAGCAGGTTGACTTTCTGGTTCTAGCAGGTTAACATTTTGGTTCTAGCAGGTGACTTTCTGGTTCTAGCAGGTTGACTGTCTGGTTCTAGCAGGTAGACTTTCTGGTTCTAGCAGGTTGACTTTCTGGTTCTAGCAGGTTAGACTTTCTGGTTCTAGCAGGTCGACTTTCTGGTTCTAGCAGGTTGACTTTCTGGTTCTAGCAGGTTGACTGTCTGGTTCTAGCAGGTTAACATTTTGGTTCTAGCAGGTCGACTTTCTTGGTTCTAGTTGGTTGACTTTCTGGTTTTAGCAGGTAGACTTTCTGGTTCTAGCAGGTTGACTGTCTGGTTCTAGCAGGTTAACATTTTGGTTCTAGCAGGTAGACATTCTTGTTCTAGTTGGTTGACTTTCTGGTTTTAGCAGGTAGACTTTCTGGTTCTAGCAGGTTGACTTCCTGGTTCTAGCAAGTTGACTTTCTGGTTCTAGCAAGTTGACTTTCTGGTTCTAGCAGGTAGACTTTCTGGTTCTAGCAGGTTGACTGTCCGGTTCTAGCAGGTAGACTTTCTGGTTCTAGCAGGTTGACTGTCCGGTTCTGGCAGGTTAACTGTCTGGTTCTCGCAGGTTGACTTTCTGGTTCTAGCAGGTAACCTTTTCGGTTATAGCAGGTAGACTTTCTG